GCCGGATTGTCGCATGACTGTACATACTCGATGTCCACTTCTTTATTTTTCTCAAACTGTCCGTATGTACGAGAAAAATATTAGAGGCATATGCTTTGTTCTGTCGCTTTTGATATAGCCTTCTTTAAGTTGAGTAACACACGCCGAATTGTTTTCGAACATTTTCGTTGGCTCTTTCTTACCAACTATTCCACTTGCTTTTTATATGTGGTAACTCATTGATCTAAGCCACACACATTCTCGACAGGCTTCGTGAAGTGCAATGGTTTCTGCATAATTCGAAGATGTTGCAACCAGAGCTTGCTTCTGCGAACGCCAAGAGATCGCTGTCCCACCAATTGTAAAAACATAGCCGGTTTACGAACGAACCTTATGAGGATCTGATAAATATCCTGCATCTGCAAAACCAACCATACCAAACTCGAGTTTTCTAAAGTACATTAAACCTAGGTCAACCGTACCTTGAAGGTAACGAAATATGTGTTTAATTCTGTTCCAATGTCTATGAGTAGGAGCCGAACTATATCTTGCAAGAAGATTAGTGGCAAAGGCAATATCATGTCTGGTACAGTTCGCTAGATACAACAATCCACCGATAGCACTCATGTAAGGTACTTCTGAACCTAACATCTTTTCGCTATCTTCACAGGGTCTAAAAGGATCTCTCTCAATATCGAGAGTCCTACCAACCATTTGAGTACTCAAAGGAGTTGCTTTGTCCATACGAAAGCGTTTCAATAACCTTTTTTGTATAATTTGATTGATGCACCAATATACCTTCTCGGAGATGCTCAATCTGAAGCCCTAGACAAAACTTTGTCTTTCCGAGATCTTTCATTTCGAACTCTTCTTTCATATGAGTTTGTGCATCATCAACCTCCTTTTGAGTTCCAATAATGTTCAGGTCATCAACATATACAGCAATGATCACAAAGCCATATGACGATTTCTTTATAAAAACACATGGACATATCGCATTATTCACATATCCTTTTCTCAAGAGATATTCATTTAAGCGATTGTACCACATGTGTCCGGATTTCTTTGATCCGTAAAGTGATCGCTGTGACTTGACCGAACAAATCTCCCTGGGTTTCTCTTTCAATGCCTCTGGAATTTTCAATCCTTCAGGGAGTCTCATGTATATATTATTATCCAATGATCCATACAAGTATGCAGTCACAACGTCCATAAGATGCATTTCAAGATTCTTTGACGCCGTAAGGCTTATAAAAAATCTAAACGTAATTGCATTCATTACCGGGAAATACGTTTCCTCAAAATCAATTCCCGGTCTCTGAGAAAAACCTTGGGCCACTAATCGGGCTTTATATCGTGTTACTTCATTCATTTCATTTACTTTTCCCACGAATACCCACTTATACCCAACATGTTTACATTTTCAGGCGTTATGACTATAGGTCCAAAGACATTCCTTTTATTCAGAGAGAATAATTCAATTTCTATGGCCTTCTTCCACTCCTCCCAATCATGTCTTTTCATACATTCTAAAATGGACATTGGATCAGGACCATCACTTTCGTGATCTATTTCTTTGGACACAGAAAATGAGAACATTCCTCTCAGGTGCATCTTTGCACCCACTGCCCAGGTCATATAATTATTTCCTGTAATATTAAGGGCAGTTATTTCAAGCTTTATCAGATTCGTCATGATAACTGTATTCATAGAATAATAATATAAAAATATAATAAAGACGGAAATTTAAATGTATAATTTAAATGCAGAAATTAAAAGCATAATATAAAAGCAGAAATTAAATTGCAGTATTTAAAGAACATAAATAAAGCTGGAGGCTTAGCCTTCCAAATGATCCGAGGAGACATAGTCTACCATGTTGATCATTTTTATCAAGGTTTGAGGAGACATAGTCTGCCATGTTAACCTTTTCTTTTTATTCAAGGTCCGAGGAGACTTAGTCTACCATTTTTGACCTTTTCTTTTTTATTTACGGAGGCAAAGCCTACAACGTATTCGTCTGATCGTGAAGGCATAGCTTTTCTTAACAATCAGTCGGGGAAGGCAACGCCTGTCATCCCAAAAAATAAACGAAGAAGGCCTAGCCTCTTACTCCGAAACAATAATAAAATTACAATAATAAAAATTATTGAAATACATAAACTAAACATTACCTCACCAGTATAACCTTGTTTGATATAGGATCAGAGCTTCGTGCTGATAACGTGTTGAATATTAAAATAAAACAAAGGTGATTATTTGTTTGTGTGTTCACGAGAGAAAGATCAAAGGATCTTGATTATAACTTGATTTCTCTTCTCACGTGAATGCTCTCTTTATATAGACCAGAGAGAGTCGGTAAATACACAACAATAAGACAAAATAAAACTATAAACATGACAAGTGTCTAGTGATGGTGCAAACATCACAAGATAAGAAAGACACGTGTTTTCCATGATGAATAATCATCCAGTTTATAATAACAAACAATTAATTTGGGATGATGGTCTTACTAGAGAAATTTACCATCTCCTTCGTGGGATATCATCCTCCTTCTCATTAATATACTCTCTCTGTTTTATTTTAATTGTCATTCTACGTTTTTTCACACAGATTAATAAAACATTTAATTTTACATATTTTTAAGAAAAAACACAATTACCTATACACCTAACCACTTTTCAACCAATAGAAAAATAGAATATTATATAAAACTAATAAATTTTATCTCGAAACTCTAAAACGCCACTTAATTTGAAACGAATTTTTTCCTCCAGAACGACAATTAATTTGAAACGGAGGGAGTAGCTTTTAGGATCGCAGTGTCTACACGCAGATCCTCAGGAGTTAACTCTTTTTTGAATCTAGGCTTTTCCTCCACCTAAAAGTCGTGCATTCTCAACTAGAGAGTCAACACTAAAGAACATTCTTCATAAGGTGGCCGCTCTACTAGGAGAACATTTTGACCCCTCGATTTCAAACACCACAGAACCGTAACTCACTAATATATAATAATAAAATAAACATTTTCATTTAATTTATAAATAATCAAAATAGAAACGACGACAAAGAGAGTGTTGTGTGGAATTTACCTTTATGTTGTATATACATACAAGTCTAAGTCTTCTTCTCAGGGAAAATACACATTTAATTCCCCAACTATTTGAAATCGGCAGTTTTAATACTCAATTATTACTCGCGCAGAATTATTCCTCAACTAATAGTTGACTGCGTGAAATTAGGAACCAAATAATCAACCGTTAACTGGTTAACGGAAAGATAACAGTTTCCGTCAACCTTTTAACGGTTGACTATTTCGTTCCCAATTTCACACAGTCAACTGTTAGTTGGGGAATAATTATGCGCAAGAAATACTTGAGTATTTAATCTGCCGATTGAAAATACTTGAGGAATTTAGAACATCAATATTTTTTTTAAAAAAATATATAATTTAAAAGATTTTCAAGTCAGATACAATCAATATACGAGATTTTTACTTTTTGAAAGAGAATTCTGAGCTTTTACAATAACATGTACAATCATAGAAATAGTTAGAGTTGCAGTTTATTGTTGATGTACTTCATGTTTATAAAATCACATATGGATGATTTCATATCATTTACGGACTCATATGTTGTAAATTAGATCTCTACTTTAGACTAGGGATGGCAAAAAATATCGAACCGAATGAAACCGAACCAACTGAACCAAAACAGCTCCAAACCAAACTGAACCGAGTTTAAACCGAACCGAGAAAACAATGTGCTTTTGTTATTATTTGAAAACTAAAGTCTCTATTAACTTTATACAATATACTTAAATCCTAACACTAACGATTAACTTTATTAACGCTTTTTAAAAAGAAAAAAAATTATTTACTTTAGTTAAATTTGATTTGATTGTGTTCTTATAAAAAAATGATGATTTTTTTAGATATTTTTTCAGTTTTATTGTACATGTCATTGTAAATTAATTATACTATAAATCTGAAAAAAATATCAGAAAAAATCATCATTTTTTATAAGAACACAATCAAACCAAAGTTAACTAAAGTAAATAGATTTTTTTTTTTAAAAAGCGTTAATAAAGTTAATCGTTAGTGTTAGGATTTAGGTATATTGTATAAAGTTAATAGAGACTTTAGTTTTCAAATAATAACAAAAGCACATTATTTTCTCGGTTCGGTTTAACTTGGTTCAGTTTGGTTTGGAGTGGTTTCGGTTCAGTTGGTTCGGTTTCATTTGGTTCGATATTTTTTGCCATCCCTAGCCTAAAGTAGAGATCTAATTTACAACATATGATTCCGTAAATGGTATGAAATCATCCATATGTGATTTTATAAACATGAAGTACATCAACAATAAACTACCACTATAACAATTTTTATTATTGTACATGTTATTATAAAAGCTCAAAAATCTCTTTCAAAAAGTAAAAATCTCGTATATTTATTATATCTGACTTGAAAATCTTTTAAATTATATATTTAAAAAAAAAAAAAATATTGATGTTTTAAATTCCTCAAGTATTTTCAATCGGCAGATTAAATACTCAAGTATTTCTTGTGCAGAATTATTCTCCAACTAATAGTTGACTGTGTGAAATTAGGAACGAAATAGTCAACCGTTAAAAGGTTAACGGAAACCGTTATCTTTCCGTTAACCAGTTAACGGTTGACTATTTGGTTCCTAATTTCGCGCAGTCAACTACTAGTTGGGGAATTATTCTGCGCGAGCAATACTTGAGTATTAAAACTGCCGATTTCAAATACTTGGAGAATTAAATACCCATTTTCCCCTTCTTCTCACTTTTATTATTTACCTCCTATTCTTTTAGTCCGATAGAAATAGAAACAGATCTATAATCATTCAACAATATAGCCAACTGCACATAGGCATTTGACCTTACACAATTGAATATATACCAATAAACTAAAAATGAAGTAAAAAAAAAAAAACACACTTGAAAAAATGAAGTTGGATAAAAAAAGTCACTCACTGCATGGCACTAGCTCATATAATTTAAAGCTTTCCACGTGTTTCTTCTTTGGCCGCTGCATCAGCTTCGGCTTTGGCTTCTTCTTCCTCCTCTATGGTAAATAGTATCTTTAGTTTGTACATCATAGTAATAGGATCCCAGCGATACATGTCATCAAAGTTGTCATGCTTTGCATCAAAGCTTTCCCAGCCTGGCCATCCTGGTAAGTTCATGGCGTCATGATCAGTCCGAGGTTCCAAGGGAAGAGTGTCAACAAGCATCTCTTCTTCGTCTCTGTAATCCTCCATGTCACTCAGCATCTCAGGTCTTTCTTCTTCTTCTTCTTCTTCTTCTGCGGTGGCATCATCGGCTTCAAGCAGCGTGAGAGAAGAAGGTTCCTGAGAGACATGGCTTGTTTCATCATTAAAAAAGTATGCGCCTTTATCCATAAGCAATCCAGGCCATTCAGGGCTTTCTGGATTGTTAATGTCCAGAGTCTGAGAAGAGGACCCAATTCTTGAAGCATATCCTTTGGGAGTGGCTACGAAAAGATCGTAAAGCACACCCAATTTTTTAAGCATATCGGTGTAGTAGGCGGCATCTTCGAACTGATCTGAGAATATGAACAAACTAGCTTCATAACTCATGTCCACCTGAGGAGAGTCCCTTTCCCATAAATAAATGTCATTTAACATTCTGGCACGTCGTTCATCCCCTGGAAAATAAATAAAAATATATCATCAAATGGGAGTGAGATTATTATACAATATAGTGTTAGATATATGAAAGGATGTAAAAAGAAAAAAAGTGTGAAATCTCTCACCTCCGGGGAGGAAGTGGATTCTGGAAAGCCACGTCTTGTCACCCAGTAACCTCTTGTCATCATCATCAAGATAGGCCCAGATGGTAATGTTATCATCAAACTCCCTTGCCACAAGAGCTGTTGAGATAGAGTGGTAGATCTCATCAGGAGTGGAACCAAGAGGGAATGGGCAATCCACGGCATCCCAGAAGACAGCTGTCCTAACCCCTTTGACGGTTGGGATACGCTCTGAGAGATGGCAATAGAAAAAAGAGAGAGAAAGGTTAAAACAAACAAACAAATAATTTGGGAATTAATTAATGATCTTACCGGAGAAATCTACCGTCTTGGAGACATCTTCTTTGGTCACTACTTGATCCTTTTCAACATCGAGATCATACTGATACGTACGATGACTATGTCGAGCTTTGTACCGAGGCTTTCCTCCACCCAAAAGTCTTGCATTATTAAGTAGAGTCTCTACAGTAAACAGATATGATTCTACATCAGGAGGCGGCTCTACTAGGACAACATTGTGACGCCTAGATTTCAAACACTGCAGAACCCTGTGCAACTCCCTTTTTGGTTTTGCTATTACCAAAAAATTTATTGGTCCTGGTCCAAGCATTGATGCGAAACGAATCATACGCAAAGTGATATCCGGCACTTCGAAAACACCAGCCGCATAAGACTTACCTAAAATATTAAACAGAGAAACAACACATCGGATTACATTAACATATAATTGGAAAGTAGAAACTACTACGAGAGCTAAAGAGAGAGTGTTGTTGTGATGAGGAGTTTACATTCGATTAACCAGTGGTTGAATAGTTCGGACTCTTTTTTGTCACAACTGACTTGCTCAGAATACAATGTCACGTCCATATACCCATCACGAAAACCCATTACATCCAGAGCTTTTGACATATCATCAAAAACAGGACTAAGATCAACGCTACCATCTACAGGGATTGGGTAGTCATCTATGTTCCAGAACACGAATGTCTGCTTCACTACACGAAGAGTACAATTTAAAAAAAAAAAACACCATTATTACTTTGCTATAATCTAAACAATTAACAGTTTCGGGTAAGAGATGGAGAGAGGAGATCTTACACGACTCAAAATCCACGGTCTCGTCTTCCCCCATGGCTCTACGGAGATGATAGCGATGAGAATTGGAGAGGAGTTTCTAGGGTTCTTATAGTTCTTTCTTTGAATGTGTCTTCACGGACGAGAGAGGCTGCTGCTCACTGAGAGATGATCTATCTAATCTATAATGCCTTTACGCATGAGAAAGAAGGCATGTTTTTATATCCCTTCGATCCTCAAATTAAAAAGGAAAATCTCAACGTTGTTATTCTTTTCCTTTTTTTTTTTTCAGGAAACCCTAAAAAGTTTTGAGATCTCTGTCCAAACATGCATTCGTAATCTCAAGAGTTTTGGACTTTTGGACTTTTGGGCATTCTTTTCCTTTTTTTTCCAGGTAACCCTAAATTTTGAAAAGGTAAAAAATAAAATAAAAACAGGTGAGACAAGATAAAAAGTTAGCGATACTTTCCTTTTATATGTCACATGGTTAATTTATGTCTCTCATAATCATATTTACATGGTTGTCATCTTTTCACCATGATAGTTAATTTATGTCCCTCGTCCTATCTTTTACTCATTAAAATAACCATGCAAACACTAAGTGAAATATTGCATATAAAGCTTTGGTTCACTACCTAATTTTATATTTAAAATTCATCGGTACATTAGAGCGTGCATGAAAATAGGCTTAACTACCATTATACGTTACAATCTTACCCAGATTCTAAATATTACAACTTGTCCTTTAAGTCCTCCAAAAAAAAACGTAGAACGTGACTGCTATTTTACATGCAGTTAAATAAAGTAATATAACAAAGATGAATTGTATTAAGCTGAGACTCTTTTACAAAGGTTAATAAAAATAATAATAACAATAAAAACAGTGAGTCAAAATAACCTTCAGATCTTCTTTCTGATAACGTAAAAAGGAAAATACTATTGTTATTTTAGTCAATGAAACTTAACGCAAGAAAGTGTAACACATAATACATTAAATAGAAACATGAGTTTCATTTTGAAACTAGGTTTAAAACTGATAGGTTTCTCTTTAAATTCTCTGATAACATATTGTATACTCATCCTATATATTCTAAATATCTTCTCATTTCAAAATCCATCCGAACTTCTACGCACAAACCAAAAGAAAAACGACAAGAAAAAAATGATTAACCTAGAAGATGGGATGGGAAGCTGTTGTCTCAGTGTACTTAATTATTTGTCTTTATGCTGCCATTTTTGACCCTAGAGGAGTAACTGAAATGCAAAATCCGCGGATTCCAGGAATTTTTCCACCTGGCTTAGTACCTGTTGATCTCGTAAAATGTTGGTCGTCTCTCTTTAACATCCAAGGATGTGTGCTTGGTCTCTCGGCCTCATTTCTTTCAGGAAAATTTGAAAATATTGAAGCCGAATACTGCAAGGCGTTTTCAAGTTTAGATGCAAACTGTTGGCCTCATGTTTCCTTTGAATCCTTTTTTCCCTCCTCTCCTCAAGGAAAAATGTGCGCATATCATCCCTAACTCCCCTGCACAAAACTGAAAGCACAATTGTTTATCTACAATTTTAGACTAGTTTATTAGCTTCAAAGTCTAAGTTTTTAAAGTGTGAACTCAAATAGTTGGAGAGCCCTATATGTAGCTTTTCTCAATAAAGTGAAATTTTAGCAATGTATTATTTTTAAAATATTATTTCCAATGTGTTTTTTACATTATACATAGTTTATAATTACAAATAAATTACTTTAAATGGAATTTTATCTATCTTAACTCGGCTTACCATGAAACTATTATATGAAAACTTACTAGCATTACAAACACGATTAAAAAAGAATTAAATTTCAAATGAAGTGACTTCAGATAAATTGACACAAATATGATCTATAGGCTTTAAGACGTCGAAATTAAAAAAAAAAAAATTATCGGCAGTTGCAAACGTTTTATGCAAGGGAAATAAAAGATAACACATATTGTTAAATTAAATCTGCAATTTTCTTATAAAAAAAACTTAATATCACACTAATATCTTTCAGGCCTAGAACCTTTATATATTAAAAAAATATGTCAACCATAAATCAATACAGTAAGACATTAGGGAGAAAACATCTTTAGATTTTTATCTTACTCATATAAATAAAATATGAGCTTTATTACAATACTGATATCAAAGAGTGGCTTCAGCCTAAATGTCTTTAAGAAAAATCACAAGCATGATATTAAGTTTCCACTCATATAGCTGTTATATAGCGACAATTACTTTCTTTTTTTCTAGTACTATTATCATATTCCTTATTACTTTAGCCATCCAAATGTAACCAAATTCTTCTGTGTCATTAGAGTGTGCATCAAAATGTTCTTAACTTCCATAAAACATTACAACCTTTGGAGAGTCCCCTATATGTAGATTTTCTCAATAAAGTGAAATTATAATTAAATTTATTTCAACATATAAGAAAATAACTACCATTCTTACCAATGTGTCTTCCTAAAATTATGTATGAGTACTCTAGTCACTATATATATATATATATATATTTTAAAATAGGTTTGTTATCCATCTTAAGTCAACTAACTTTGTAAAAATTTATATCAAAATTCAATAACCACACAAGAACTACTTGAGTTAACCATTCTTTTATTCTCCTAATAAATAAAAATACTCATAAATATAAATGATGTGACTACAATTTATCAACTATAGTTTGAGAGGCCTTTAACCGCCGAGACAATCTAGTTTTTTGGCCTTTTTGGTTTACAAAAATGATGAACAAAAGATAAATAAAAATTATAAATATATATATTTTGAAGTATACATGAAAATAACATAGATCGTTTTAGAAAAAAACTGATTGATTATGTGTTCTTGTGTATGAAATTTTCCAAGTCGTGTTAGATGAACTCCATCATATAATATACCTATACTAACTAAATCTCTAGTCATTTTTCTCAGTTAAAACAGGGTAGGAGAATCAATGTGGAGTGAAATAAAACTAGTTTAGTTAATTAACTTGCTCACACTCACATATATTAGTTAAATAATTACTTTTATTCTAATATTAATATGAAAGAGCAGTATACAAATGAAAATAACTAATCATACATACATGGTTGTCATCTTTTCACCATGACAGTTAATTTATGTCTCTCGTCCTATCTTTTACTCATTAAAATAACCATGCAAACACTAAGAGAAATATTACATACAAAGCTTTGGTTCACTGCATAATTTTATATTCAAAATTCTTCTGTACATTAGAGCATGCATGAAAATAGGCTTAACTACTATTAAACGTTACAACCTTACCCAGATTCGAAATATTACAACCTACTTGTCTTTAAGTCCTCCAAAAAAAACGTAGAACGTGACTGCTATTTTACATGCAGTTAAATAAAGTAATATAACAAAGGTGAATTGTATTAAGCTGAGACTCTTTTACAAAGGTTAATAAAAATAATAATAACAATAAAAACAGTGAGTCAAAATAACCTTCAGATCTTCTTTCTGATAACGTAAAAAGGAAAATACTATTGTTATTTTAGTCAATGAAACTTAACGCAAGAAAGTGTAACACATAATACATTAAATAGAAACATGAGTTTCATTTTGAAACTAGGTTTAAAACTGATAGGTTTCTCTTTAAATTCTCTGATAACATATTGTATACTCATCCTATATATTCTAAATATCTTCTCATTTCAGAATCCATCCAAACTTCTACGCACAAACCAAAAGAAAAACAACAAGAAAAAAAAAGATTAACCTAGAAGATGGGAAGCAAAGCTGTTGTCTCAGTGTACTTAATTATTTGTCTTTGTGCTGCCATTTTTGACCCTAGAGGAGTAGCTGAAATGCAAAATCCGCAGGGGATTCCAGGAATTTTTCCACCTGGCTTGGTACCTGTTGATCTCGTAAAATGTTGGTCGTCTCTTTTTAACATCCAAGGATGTGTACTTGGTCTCTCGACCTCATTTCTTTCAGGAAAATTTGAAAATAATGAAGCCGAATGCTGCAAGGCGTTTTCAAGTTTAGATGCAAACTGTTGGCCTCATATGTTTCCTTTGAATCCTTTTTTCCCTCCTCTCCTCAAGGAAAAATGTGCGCATATCATCCCTAACTCCCCTGCACAAAACTGAAAGCACAATTGTTTATCTACAATTTTAGACTAGTTTATTAGCTTCAAAGTCTAAGTTTTTAAAGTGTGAATTCAAATAGTTGGAGAGCCCTATATGTAGCTTTTCTCAATAAAGTGAAATTTTAGCAATGTATTCTTGTTAAAATATTATTTCCAAAATGTTTTTTACATTATACATAGTTTATAATTACAAATAAATCACTTTAAATGGAATTTTATCTATCTTAACTCGGCTTACCATGAAACTATTATATGAAAACTTACTAGCATTACAAACACGATTAAAAAAGAATTCAATTTCAAATGAAGTGACTTCAGATAAATTGACACAAATATGATCTATAGGCCTTAAGACGTCGAAATTAAAAAAAAAAAAATTTATCGGCAGTTGCAAACGTTCTATGCAAGGGAAAGAAAAGATAACACATATTGTTAAATTAAATCTGCAATTTTTTTTTTAAAAAACTTAATATCACACTAATATCTTTCAGGCCTAGAACCTTTATATATTAAAAAAAATATATGTCAACCATAAATCAATACAGTAAGACATTAGGGAGAAAACATCTTTAGATTTTTATCTTTCTCATATATATAAAATATGAGCTTTATTACAATACTGATATCAAAGAGTGGCTTCAGCCTAAATGTCTTTAAGAAAAATCACAAGCATGATATTAAGTTTCCACTCATATAGTTGTTATATAGCGACAATTACTTTCTTTTTTTCTAGTACTATTATCATATTCCTTATTACTTTAGCCATCCAAATGTAACCAAATTATTCTGTGTCATTAGAGTGTGCATCAAAATGTTCTTAACTTCCACAAAACATTACAACCTTTGGAGAGTCCCCTATATGTAGATTTTTCTTAATAAATTGAAATTATAATTAAATTTATTTCAACATATAAGAAAATAACTACCATTCTTACCAATGTGTCTTCCTAAAATTATGTATGAGTACTCTAGTCACTATATATATATATATTTTAAAATAGGTTTGTTATCCATCTTAAGTCAACTACCTTTGTAAAAATTTATATCAAAATTCAAGAACCACACAAGAACTACTTGAGTTAACCATTCTTTTATTCTCCTAATAAATAAAAAATACTTATAAATATAAATGATGTGACTACAATTTATCAACTATAGTTTGAGAGGCCTTTAAGCGCCGAGACAATCTAGTTTTTTGGCCTTTTTGGTTTACAAAAATGATGAACAAAAGATAAATAAAAATTATAAATATATATATTTTGAAGTATACATGAAAATAACATAGATTGTTTTAGAAAAAACTGATTGATTATGCGTTTTTGTGTACGAAATTTTCCAAGTTGGGTTAGATGAACTCCATCGTATAATATACCTATACTAACTAAATCTCTAGTCGTTTTTCTCAGTTAAAACAGGGTAGGAGAATCAATGTGGAGCGAAAGAAAACTAGTTTAGTTAATTAACTTGCTCACACTCACATATATTAGTTAAATAATTACTTTTATTCTAATATTAATATGAAAGAGCAGTATACAAATGAAAATAACTAATCATACATACATGGTTGTCATCTTTTCACCATGACAGTTAATTTATGTCTCTCGTCCTATCTTTTACTCATTAAAATAACCATGCAAACACTAAGTGAAATATTAAATACAAAGCTTTGGTTCCCTGCATAATTTTATATTCAAAATTCTTCTGTACATTAGAGCATGCATGCAAAATAGGCTTAACTACTATTAAACGTTACAACCTTACCCAGATTCGAAATATTACAACCTAGTTATCCTTAAGTCCTCCAAAAAAAGACGTAGAACGTGACTGCTATTTTACATGCGGTAAAATAAAGTAATATAACAAAGGTGAATTGTATTAAGCTGATACTCTTTTACAAAGGTTAATAAACATAATAATAACAATAAAAACAGTGAGTCAAAATAACCTTCAGATCTTCTTTCTGATGAGGTAAAAAGGAAAATACTATTGTTATTTTAGTCAATGAAACTTAACGCAAGAAAGTGTAACACATAATACATTAAATAGAAACATGAGTTTCATTTTGAAACTAGGTTTAAAACTGATAGGTTTCTCTTTAAATTCTCTGATAACATATTGTATACTCATCTTATATATTCTAAATATCTTCTCATTTCCAAATCCATCCGAGATTCTACGCACAAACCAAAAGAAAAACGACAAGAAAAAAAGATTAACGTAGAATATGGGAAGCAAAGCTGTTGTCTCAGTGTACTTAATTATTTTTCTTTGTGCTGCCATTTTTGACCCTAGAGGAGTAGCTGAAATGCAAAATCCGCAGGGGATTCGAGGAATTTTTCCACCTGGCTTAGTACCTGTTGATCTCGTAAAATGTTGGTCGTCTCTCTTTAACATCCAAGGATGTGTGCTTGGTCTCTCGACCTCATTTCTTTCTGGGAAATTTGAAAATATTGAAGCCGAATGCTGCAAGGCGTTTTCAAGTTTAGATGCAAACTGTTGGCCTCATATGTTTCCTTTGAATCCTTTTTTCCCTCCTCTCCTCAAGGAAAAATGTGTGCATATCATCCCTAACTCCCCTGCACAAAACTGAAAGCACAATTGTTTATCTACAATTTTAGACTAGTTTATTAGCTTTAAAGTCTAAGTTTTTAAAGTGTGAACTCAAATAGTTGGAGAGCCCTATATGTAGCTTTTCTCAATAAAGTGAAATTTTAGCAATGTATTATTTTAAAAATATTATTTTTAAAATATTATTTTCAATGTGTTTTTTATATTATAGTTTATAATTACAAATAAATCACTTTAAATGGAATTTTATCTATCTTAACTCGGCTTACCATGAAACTATTATATGAAAACTTACTAGCATTACAAACACGATTATAAAAGAATTAAATTTCAAATGAAGTGACTTCAGATAAATTGACACAAATATGATCTATAGGCCTTAAGACGTCGAAATTAAAAAAAAAAATTATCGGCAGTTGCAAACATTTTATGCAAGGGAAAGAAAAGATAACACATATTGTTAAATTAAATCTGCAATTTTTTTTTTTTAAAAACAAACTTAATATCACACTAATATCTTTCAGGCCTAGAACCTTTATATATTAAAAAAAAAATATGTCAACCATAAATCAATACAGTAAGACATTAGGGAGAAAACATCTTTAGATTTTTATCTTACTCATATATATAAAATATGAGCTTTATTACAATACTGATATCAAAGAGTGGCTTCAGCCTAAATGTCTTTAAGAAAAATCACAAGCATGATATTAAGTTTCCACTCATATAGTTGTTATATAGCGACAATTACTTTCTTTTTTTCTAGTACTATTATCATATTCCTTATTACTTTAGTGACATGGTGATTTATTTACTTTATTTTTGTAATTTAAATTAGGGATTTACCGGCTATACGCGCCAGTTTTACTAACATTGATATGGTTTGGTTCTGATTTTATAATCTAGAATATTTTTTGGAAATGTTTTAGAAAACAAAATATGTAGCGACCATATGAAAATATATTAATAAAATTACATTGTAAGACACTTTATCAGTTTATATTTTCACCTAGAGACACAATACACTTGCAACACACTTTTTAGCTAATGAAATACTTTCTTACCCGTTAACTAAAGAGTAACCAAACCTCATCAAAACAACGTGCCCAACTTATCTCCTGTTTTACCAAATCCCAAAATCCTCCCTCTTTCTTCTTCATAGAGATGAAGATTAAGAACCCTAATTTTCAAGTGATCCCCAATTCGATCTGATTTTCTTTTCTCCATGAACGTCTGGGTTTGTACCTCTGCAACAATGCCACTGCCTCAATTCCTTGTGACCACCATTGACAAGCTCTGTTGGAGGAAGCTTTTTATCTAAACGTGTAATCTGTAATGGAAGAGAAGCCTTCTAATTAGAAACCCACGAGTCCTTTCAATAGAGTCAAAAAGTCAGTCGACAAACCCATCATCCCAATGCTTCTATATAAGGTGTTTCTTCAAGATAGAGTTTTTCTTCCAAAAGATAACTCCGTTAGACAAGTCACTTTCGGTTCTGTCATGGATCAACTAGATCTGATTCTGAGATGCTAGGCATGTCAGAATACATTGTTGGAGAGAGGATGACAAGAATTTGAAGGCTGTGGTGGTGGAGATATGGTGGAGAAAGATAGATTGGTGGTGGTTTCCGATCTGGTGGATGTGGTTACTCTAAAAAAATCATCATAGTTGTGTGGATGTGGATACATAGGTTAATACAAAGCTGGTGGAAGCCGTGTGGATGTGGATCGTCATTTGGGAAGAGCTGGGAGCAACATATGGAAGAAAGTTACCATTGCAGCTTGCGCTAGTGTTGCGACTGAAGCTACTTGCGCCGACGATCCAAATTTTCTGGATCCCACACCTCCACCGTCCACACACACCACGTCCACACATCCACCATCCACACCACACCACCTGCAACAAAATTTCAGACGCACGAAATATAAATGATGGTTCGGTGTCCGGGTCATGTTTCAAAACACTGTTTTTATTAGATGGTTAATATCATTGTTTATTTTATGTTAATAATATAAAATTAAATAGAAATGATGGAGCATATATTAATTATTATAAAATCTTTATTATTAAAATCACTAATTATCATATATATATATATATATATATATATATCTTCTATATTAAAAGAGAAGTCTCATTTGTATCTACTACACAAAAGTCATTTGGACCATTTCATTAATATGACATACATGATTATTTATATTAATATATCAAATATATATTACTGGAGAAATATTTTAATGATTAATAAGATATTAGTAATAAATCAATTTGACTATTAATTTCTTCTTTAATTTCATTTATAACAAAATCTGTTGAAAAAATATCTAACAGGATCTTACCAAGAAGTTTAAATATTTTTATAAAATATATATTATTTAATTTGTGATTAATATATATATATATATATATATTAATGTTAATTAAAAATAAAAATTGGTATATTTTATAGTTTAATGATATTCTATATTATATTAAAATGAAAATGCTATGTGAAATGAATATAAAAATATATTAAATTGGTAAGAAAAATATTTTATTTTAAAAATTTTATTCACTGTTAAAACATATTATTTTTTTTAAATCAAGTAACATTTTTATACAAAAAATGTTAACATATATTTTTGTAACTCACAACAAATACATTATCTAAAAAAAATATATATGATTTCTTTAAAAATATTTACAACAATATATTATATAAAAATAATTAAAATAATAAGATTATATATTTATACAATATATAACAATAAAATGTAAATCATATATTTGAAAGATTTTGTTATATTTTTATAAAGTGAAAAAATTACCCGTATGGATGTGCGGGTTCAAAATCTAGTACTTTAATTATATTAGGTAACTCCATAGTTTTTATTTGAGAAAAGAAGCAAACATATTAATTGTACATTATTAATTATTTTTACTATTAATTTATTAAAAACTATAATATATATTTATTGGAACAATATATTTTTTTAGAGAATTTGTGAATGTCATAGTTAAAATGTTGTAATAATTCAATATATAAGAAGATCATATTATTTCAGTAATCAAAATGTCATAAGTTTTTCTTCTAAATGAACATGATGATGAGAAAAGCAAATCTGAAAGAATTTCGCTTTATCAAATATGTGTAAGAGATTTCTGAACTTTACTAAGTAAATTATGGTTTTGACAAAAGCTATAAATCCTATTTTGTCTTGACTATGTAAACATTTATATGGCTTTCTTCAGTACAAAGTCTTGACTTATTATGTACATACAAAAACCATTAATTTGAAAGGTAAAATGAGATCGTTTTTTCTAGTCGAATGGGTCAAATCGTGGGTCGTGCTCACTAGCTGTGACCATCCCAGTACATAGACATGTCGGGCACATCACCTGACTCATACACAAACACACACAAAAACAAAGACTAAGTATAAGCACTCAGGTCACAGACCATATGAAATACTGTTCAGACATCTTTTACCTTTCCTGCGCCCGAACAGTTTAGACACCTTTCTGTTGTCGGAGCTTGCAGAAGCCGGCTTGAAACTCTAGTTCGTTTTATTGGATCAACGCCTAAGCACACACCACTTGCAGAACATTTAGCGCATGGCAAGTATCCTAAACAAAGACATATCATTCAAGAAGTTGTTTAAAGAAAACAAAAAAAAAAATCAAGAAGTTACATTATAGTCCAATGAGATTGATATATAAATCAATTTACCAGTCCCAAGGCAGTACTTGCACCTCTTCTTCTCTTGTTGTTTAACATTGTTCACTTCAATTAACATCAAGGTTGAAATTACTCCAACGGCTCCTCCAGAAAATGATGCCACAATGGGATCTACTTGGCTGTATCACAGACCAAAAAAAAAAATCATATTTGTTTGATGCATACTAGTGATCCTGGAGCACTTTTAAAGTACCTTAATTGCAGGGGAAGATGCAAGCTCCTTATGAAATCTTCGTAAGAGGTTCCTCCTAGTCCTACCTTGAGCTCAAGCTGCCATTTAAAAAATAATAATGATAATAATTCAAGAACACATGCTTCAAGGAAGAGATAGTTTGTTAGTTAGTTACCTTAGGAGCAATGAGACCACCAAAGAAAATGATTCCAGAGATCAAAGCAACACTGGTCAAGTAGAGTTGTTTCAAAGTCTTTGGTGTCTATATTATCAAAACAAACAAAACAAAGAGTCTCAAAAACCAACAAGACAAGGATGTGTCTTTTCTTGGTCTAAAGTAAACTGACCACATTAGGGAGAAAAGGAATGGAAGAAGGGATCTCAGGCATCTCAGCTTCCTCCTCATTATTGATGGATTTAACACTCTTGATCCTTTGCTGAACTCGTAACCGTCTAACTTCCTCCATGAGGAGAAAGATCTTATTGCGTCTGCTCCTTATGTTGTCTTGAATCTCCTGAAGCTGCATCTGCACAAAGTCTTGAACCGTCTCTGACCCCTCAATGATACAGAAGTTACTGAAGCAATTCAAAAAAAAAGAAAAAAGGTTGGATTTTTACACAAATAGAATCGAAAGGATCGAACTTTAATGGATAAAATGAAAAGGGTAACTTGCTTTGGAAGAGAGTCGCCGGAGGGAGGAGGTGCGTTGTTGTTGGTGCCGGCTGAGCAGGAGAAGGAGAGGGTAGAGCGACCATGTAAGAGAAGACGAGGGGTGGGTTTGAGGTGAGATGAAGGGAATAGGAGAAGGGATCTGGAAGTTGAGGGAAGAGGAAGAAGAGGAGGAGGATGAGAGAAGCTCGTCGTCGTCATCATCTATCTTCTCGAGCTATGCTTTCGTTGTCAATACGTTGTCTGGATAAACGAACTAACCATAGTCCAAAGCTAACCACACTTTTTCGGCTGATCATAACTAACCCTCTCGGTGGTTCCAAAGGTTTCAGTGTTTTTTTTTATAATTAATTTAGTTAGCTGATCCAATTTCTCATTTCTTAAGTATTTTTTTATGAACAATTTCTAATGACCACCAATTGAAACCTAAAAGCTAACATATTTAGAACAAAAAATGGTTTAGTTCAAAGAATTAGATGTAATCTAATTTGTTTGTGTCAGCTACACCGTTTGCTAAGCGAGCTTGTCCTTTAGCAAACTGATGAAACGCAACTCCCATCTCTTCCGTCTTCTCTTCTTGGAACCTCACTATCTCCTCGTCCATTCTCTTCACTATCCTGTCAAATTTTATCGTTGCTTCCTCGCTTTCTGCTTTTATCTGTGCATCATTGTCAAGTTCAAGCACCAGATATGGTCAAAAGAGAACTCATTTTAAGTTGGAGTTGTTGTTTTTACCTCTCTGTATTCGTTTTCAGCTTCTCCTACTTTGTCAGAACGCGTGAGCATGAGTTTGTCACTGCAATTAACAGACAAGAGTTTATATAATGTTCCAAAGTAATCTTATTTGACAGAGAACAGCTAAGGGAAAGAAGAGCCATCATACAGGTTTATTTCCTTTAACTTTGTTGTTTCTGCCAATTCACAATGTTGTCTGAATGCACTGCCTCGTTCTCCTATTGTCGCCTGGACATACACAAGAGGGTAGAGTTTAATGTCCAGACATCTCTAGTGTGCATAAGCAGAATCGAATCCCAAAGGGGGAAGGCAAGAGAAAACCACCTTGATGGATTGCACATAACGAACATAGTCCTTCAAGGGTTCCTCAAAGTTCATCAGCACTTGTTGAGCCTAAAAATAATGTAGGGTAGATACAACATGCATCATCTCACTATAGTTGTAAAACATAGAAGAAATTATCTATGCGGTAGCATCATCTTACAAAAATTAGTACCTCTTTCTGGAGTTTAATCGATACAAGTTCAGATTTAGTTCCAAGATCGGAGAAGGCTTTCCCTATAGGTTCACCCTCACAAGCCCCAAGAAGTTTTACAGCCTTGCCAAAATCCAATAGTGACTGACCCAACTCTGCCATCAGGTTAATAAAGAATCAAATTTGAAGTGAATTTAGACAAGTGACATATTTGTTAACTACCTCTATGCCTCTTGACGAGGCGATATGCATGCTTTTGAGCCTCAGCTAAGTGGTTCTCAAGCTCAGAAACGTAGTGCTTAAGCTTCTCGTATTCAGGAGTAGTTTCTTCCACAGGTTTTTCCTTTCCGAGGACAGCATCACTAACTTTTGATTGCACATCCTGTCAATTATGCAGATGGAGAAAAGAGTGAAGGAAATCAATAATAAGTTGTGCATTTTATGAAGTCTTGATCTTGCGTTATGGTATAGCTAACTAACCAATTATAATGGTAAGATGCTACCTATCATCATAGCATAGTGTTATATTGAGTCCATCATTGGCTCCCATCTTGTATGTTATATTTTACATGGAAAGGAAAAAAGGTATGCTTACCCTAAACATTTGCATTAGATCAGCAGGCTTAGTCTTGAATAAACCAGTTTCCTGAAACCTGAATCTTTCCATTGTCTGAAGAGAAAACAAAACAGTCAAGCAAAAGACAATAATAACCTTCAGGGAGGTTATTATAGTCCCTCAGGGAGGGCAGTAAATGCAATTTATGAGCATGAAGTGGAGTGGGGGAATAACTCGAGATACCCCATACCCTCCAAAAAAAATGTGATTTACCCTCTTATTATTTTATAATTTCTTTTTTTTTTCTTTTAATTCGAAAACGTGGTTAAATACGAGTTAACCCTTGAACATATCACATATTTACAGGATCCAACCATAATAATCCGATCCATCTAAAAATCCGACCCACTCAACTCGGATCCTAAACTAAACGGTGCCGTTTTAGTTCTCTTCTCCCCTTCTCCCCTTCTCCCCCAAGTGTCGTAACCCTAATTTTTTTCTCAGACCTTCTTTTCCTCTTGTTTTTTCAGCAATAAAACAGAGCTAAAACCTTAGATTTTGTTTCTTCTTTTTCTTCTTTTGTGTAGTAATCAAGCTTCCATCTCCTGAATCGACATCCTTCATCTTGGTAAGTGTTTAATCTCATTGATTTCGTCCGATTTCGTCATCTTTTGTATTTAGGTTAGATAAAAATTGGGAGAAAACTTGTAAACTGAGACGAAACTAGAGAATAAACGATTTCTGCTATAAAATTGGGGGAAAACATGGTAAAATCTCAGATTTGGTATATGTTATGATAGAAAGGTATTTCGAGGATTTTGGATTCGTATTTTAGACCATATTGTTGCGATTTTCGTAGTTTTTTTTACAGAATAAATTGAATCTAATTTGTAAGATGCCTTGTTAAAAACCCGAATGAAAAATTAGGGAGAAAATGTATATGAATCAGGGCGGGTATGTATTCAATTGAAAACTCTGTTTCGTTTTTAGGTTCTGGAGGATGAAAGTAACGTTGGGTTTGAGATAAATGTAGCGAGGAGAGTCGGTATAGTGATTGAAAGTAACTTAATGTTGTGTTATTGTTTTATGGTTTGAATTTTGATTGGTTGTGCTGTAATGTCTTGTACAAGAAAATAATGACAAAATCGCAAAAGCAAGTTTCCATTGAAAGCCGTCGTCAATCTCTATTGAGAAGAACCAGGGACTTCTGATAAAAAGAGATAGGAAAATAGAAAAAAGGCTAACTTCTATTGAGATTAAGGTAAGTGAGAAGCCAAATCATAGTGTATACATGAATTTTGGACAGTGAGATGGTATGGATTATTATTCAAACGAAGGGAAGGACAAAGATGATGATGAGCAAGAGGTTGGGAAAGACAAGGTGACAGCGACAATTCTCCCTTATGTATTTATAGTGGGTGCATACTCCTTTCACGGCGGGGAAAAAGCGTAAAACAAAGGTTTAAAAGGCTTATATATGGAGCTTCCTTATGTATTTAGAATGCTAATTTAAGTATGCTTTTGGATTGTTAAAACTCGGTGGAATTCTTTGTTTTTGCTTTTGGATGTTTAAAACTCGGTTGAATGTTGTGTTGCTTTTGGATGTTAAAGACAGGTTTGGAAAACTAAATTTACAAGTGTTACTCTGCCCAAAAATAAATTGCTGGGATAACTGGAATTACTGGAATTACTGGAATTACTGGGTTTATTGTATGCAATAAAATTATAGCAAAAAATAGAAAACACATGTAAAACGCCTAAATAAATATATATAAAATGAATTAAAATGAATTTCACATGTAAAACGTGCAACCGTCATATTTCACATGTAAAACGTGCAGCCGTCATATATAGATTAATATTATATTTTACACTTAGTAATACACCTAATATTCATCAAGGTTGTAGTAATACTACTATACACATAGTAATATTTTGGCAATTTTTAAGTTAATCTAGTTAAACCATCACAAACTTGAAGGTTTTGTAGTAATACCAATGCTTTTACCTAGTGAATCTTTTTAAAGAAGACATTTACAACAACAAATTACTAGGAATACGTATTTTGAAAAATTCTCCTTACTATACTAGAACCATTCACACAATAACATAGAAAGTTAAGGAGTTTTTTTTGGGAAACTGATAATATTTTCTTAAATTATTGAAAATAATGATAAAAATAGTCTAAATGTACATGTTTATCATAGATATAGTCTACGAATCAAAAATAATCATAAAAATAGTCTAAATTTATATCATAAACAATTTAAAACTCACTACTCCAAATTGCACATAATTATACTAGTAAAACTAAGTAGTCCGAAACAAACATAATAATACAAGTAAGACGGAGTAATCCAAAATACACACATTGATTGCATCAAACATTGGTAGTAAAATATACATTCTCGCATCCCTAATGACATGTATGGTGCTTGATGTATTTTTTAACCGTCCAAAGATCCAAATTCTTTAACTTTGCAACTCGTACAAACCACTTGCAGCCTTCTTTAGTCAAGATTTAACCACAAATCTCTTAATATCTTACTTAGTTGTATCAAACTCAAAACATTTATGATGTGAAGTCCTCTAAATATGAAATTTCTGCAAATACGCTCAACCAAACAAGAGTAAGTGACCCAGTCGTGTGAATTTTCTTTTCTCCTTCACCATTTCCGAAGATCCATCGTATTTCAACCCCATCGTTCTTATAATATCCCCATAATCAAAACAAATAATTGTGCAGTGCGGATTTTGCATTTTTTCCTGAAATAAAATAGAATTATCATTAGAATTATCGAAGTTTAAAATTAATTGCCACGCCATACAGTCTTCTCTTACTAATAGTAATTTTTTTAGCTACTATACATAGTAATATTAACTAGTAATATTAGTATTACTAGTCGAACTTGTAAACATAGTAATATTAATAATACCAGTAAAACCACTTTACCTTAGTAAAACTAATTCTATAAGTAATACCCAGAAGTCATCATTGCACTAATTAATCAGCTTTTTAGGACGATATTGTTAGAATTTTACATTACCCATGATGTACAATTCATCTTAATGAAATTTTAGACATAAAACCATCAAAACAGACATAAATGATACTCAAAATTTATAAAAATAGTTTTCAAAATAGTTTTTAATCTCTCAAAATTTCATCAAATCTTACATTGTTTTACATTGTCCTTCATACCCACGACATTTAATTGGAGTTTCACAAAAAAAAAACATCGAAAACGAACCGAAATCACCTATTTTTGAAGCTTTAAAATCGTCAATGGAGGATGAGAGGAAACTCCCTTTCACGTGAAGAAGAAGAAGACATGTGGGCCAGGTTGGGATACCATTGGTTAAATTGTTTTTGTAGGCCCAATTGGTGGTTGAATTTTGATTGATTTATTTAATTGAAAAAGTAAATAAAAGGTTAGTTTGGGGAGTGCAAGCATAAAAAGGTAGTATGAATAGGGAGAGGGTAGTAAGGTTTAGTTTAGGAGGGCAAGGGGCATCTCGAGTTAATCCCCAGTGGAGTGTGAAGGGTCCAGATATCTAACCTCTTCATCAGCTTGCAAAAAGGTTCTAAGATCCTCACTCAGCTGAAGCTCAGGGTGTAAATGCAATCCGATTAACAAATACATCCAATGCTGCTCGCCTCATTTCAATAAACTCAGCACTAAACCGGAATTTTTCTGCCAAAAAATTAAACTTCACTCATCAGAAATCTACCTCTAAAATGAGAAACTAACCTAAGCTAATTAAACAATGATAACTCTGAAACCCCCATCAATCAATCAACTAAAGTGATAGAGAGATTATTAATGTATTATCCACGTCTTCAAAAGAGAGGTAAGATCTAAATTTTACCAACAGCACTCTTCTCAGGGAGAGGAACGAAAACGCCTTTGTATTTCTCAAAAAGCCTATGCCTTAACCACACGAAATCACTGTACCGCCTGATTACAATCTTCTCCGGTCCTTTATGATACTCCGGCAAGTTCGTCTGATCCCGGAGACAATTAAACAAAAAAATTCACGAAGAAAAAACTCAATAACACTCCAAATTCGAGCGAAAGAATCAGGGAGGGACCTTAGTGAAGACTCTGTACGAGATGTAAGCTTGAACAACGCCATTGCCTAATTTGACGGGATCGGTGACGGAGGCTGACAGATACGGCTGAGAAGACCGAGTTCTTGGCCTCTGCATCACGTTCCTCGCTTGCTGCTGCTCAATGAACCCGATAGAGAGAGAGAGAGAGAGAGAGAGAAATTGAAATTAAACCCGGTTTAGTCTTCGGTGCACAAAGCAAGAAAGTTTTGAAGGAATAGAGAGGTCATCACAGACTTTAGCTTTAAACCGAATCTTTACTCCACAATTATATGATTAAAGATAATGTGATATTAAGCTAATGTATTCTGGATATGATTACCAACAACAGATGTTAATTACTTAATCGTTTTGCCATTTAATAACATTTTTTGATTCGTTGGAAGTAAGCCTGGAAGAGCTTGATATGCAAGCAAAAAATATAAGAAAGCTTATCTATTAGTCATAGAGAAGTAAGGACATTACAGACTCTCTTATAAGAGAATTCATTTCTACTTTTTTTAAAACGAACTCTTAATAACAAAGAGGTTCTTCTTATAAGCAAAACTCAGAACTTGAAACTGAATCAGAGAGAGATCTGATGAAACAAACACAAACAAAATTACTTAAGCAGAAAGAGGATTCTTCGAATCAGTAGCAGCAGCACTCAATAGAAACTTGGCTGGTGAAACCAAAGCAACACCTCCATTCTCGGCCTTGGAGTATTTCTTGTACACAGCACGTAACTTGCTCTCTCCGCATCTCGAGTGGTGTAAAGCTAGAACCTTTGAGCATTCCCTATTAACACAGAATAGAACACATAAGTTTCTTGCAATTTTAGAGACAAAGAACAAAAGAAACAGAGATGATGTTTGATTCTTACATAATCTCAGACTCTGAGTAGCCAGTGTGGAACTTCAGTGTATCAGTCCAAGCAGGTGACTTGTTCAACGAGCATCTCGCTGTGTAAACAGCTGAAGCAGCAAGCATGGAGGGACAGAACTTCAACGTGTCATAGTGCATCATCCCCAATTCAGCAAGAAAGTGAACCATATTCTCCATCTATACACCACACAACAACAACGAACCGAACCAACATTAGTCTCTTTCCAATCTAAATCATAAGAAAAACCCAAACTCTTTAAACAAATAATCAAACTCACCTCAGGGTCAGGCACAGATGCTTTAATGAAACGGACAAGGAACACGTATTGTGTAGGGACTGTCAAGTACCATTCAAGGTTCCCAAGGATGGTCTTCTCCATCACCAGAATCTGCTTGTTGTTGTAAGCATTATCCGTCACAAACACCAAATCATTCACCTACACATACACAACAAAATCAGTATCATAACAAAACAAAACAACAAATCACACTTTTTGATTATCACAATACGTTACCTGAGGTGGCCAGATCTCTTCGTATTTGGAAGCAATAAGCAATGCACTAATCCCCAGAAGCTGCAACTCTCTTTTAGGAACAGCTTTCACAGATAAGAACCGATCAATAATGTTGATAGTGAGGTAAATAGTCTCCAAGTTAAGTTCAAACTTGACATGAACTTCAAACAACCAATCAACCAAGATAGCTCTCATCTTCTCATTCATCTCCGTCTGAATATGCATATACATCTGAGGCTGACTCTCCTTCTCAACCTCTTTATAAAACGAGTACATATCCTCAACATACTCCACCGCAGCCAAATCGTTATCTCTGTCAGACTCATCAATATCAACAACCTTAGGCTTGTTGGTAACACCACAAGCAGCTTTGCTCCTAGCACTAAGAACCGAAGAGTAAGTCACGTTCTTGTTCTTCTTAGGTGACACTACAGCTTCCTTCTTTGGCTGTTGTTTGATGACAAGATTCTTCTTTGGAACCGCTCTTGGAGCAAGAGGTTGTTGTTGTTGTGGCTTCTTGGCTGCAAGAACCGGAGCCTTCTCGGTTGGTTTCTTCTCGTTCTGGGCGTTGGCTAGTAGCTGAGCACGGAAGCTTCGGGTGATGGGTCGGTTAATCGGAGGAGGCTGAGGCTTGCCTCCTTGGGCTAAGGGAACAGAGACGAAGTTTGCGATGTCACCGAGGGGTCGACGGTTCTTTACGGCGCCGTTTTTGTTCTGGATCTTTGCGCCATCCGCAGCGACGGGAACACCTGTTTCATAGATTCCATAAGAAACCCATCAAAATGTGTTCTTGACCGAGTCGCGACCGAGTTAGGGCAAACGAGTCAACTCAATTGAATCAATAAAACTAAAACCCAGATTTTAACAAAATCAAATCGATTCATAGAATTTAGAAGAAACTCATAAAGATCTGTCAAGAATACTCAAATCAGGACGAGTTAGGGCAAACGAGTTAGACTCAATCGAATCAATCAAACGAAACCCAGATTTACAAAATCAAATAATTTTAAAAACGCGAAGAGCTTTACCTCTGATTTGTTCAGGCATGTTAGTTCTCGTCGCCATAATCGCTCTCTCCTGCAGATTCTTCTTAATTTTCTCTTTGGGTAAAGAGTCTGAGAGGATTGAGAGATTGTGATGAGGAGAATGGCGAGAGAGCGCTTGTCTTATGAAGAGGAGCCAAACCGTTCAATTACAACGGTCATATTTTTGTGTTCGATTTGTAGCCGTTGGATGACTAGGTTATAGATCTAACGGTTAGATATTTGGAATGCGCTGTCATCGGGGAGTTTTACTAGTCAGCGAATACTCTCCCAAAAATGGCCGTTGGACTGTGAATAAAAAAGGGAAGTATAATCCCATTCCGAATTGTTATTTTAATCAAAAAAAATTGTCTTTCCCAAACGAGATTGTGTATGTGCAGATTTTTAAGTGTATGTTCTTTCTTTTTTTTTCCTAGGTTGGCATGTTCTTTGTACAGTACAATCTCTATAAATTAATAATGTTGGGACTTTGAAATTTTATTAATTTATAGAGATATTAATTTACAAAAGTTTCCTTATTTAGATTTTTTTTCCATTTTTATTTTTAAAATAAAAAATATTTGATTTTAGCGTATGTACCTTATTTAAATTTTAGAATTTTGACTTTATATTCTTTTCTTATCTTATTTAGTGTATATTTTTATGTTTCATAGAATTGTTACGTAGTTTTGATATAATATGACTAAATATTATCAATATATAATGAAATGTTAAACATAAATAAAAGTATTTTTACTGTAAATATAAATCAACAATATAATGTTAGATTGTATTTATATAAAATTATTTAAGATAAATTATTAATTTATGATTTTAATGGGACTATATATTTACATGGCAGTTTTGAAAATATTATTATCTTATTATTTTATCGATTTGTGTCATATTTTACACCGGCCCAAATTGGGACCGGTAAAATTTATTAATTTATAGAGATTATTAATTTATCGAGTATTAATTTATAGAGATTCTACTGTATAAACTAATTATTTCAAAGGAAAGTTTTGATATAGCTTCTTTTCAAAGAAAAATTGAAGAGAGTAATATGAGAATGAATCCTGTTTATTTTTTAAGCAAATATAAACAGAAACATATATTATGTTTGCACAAATTCAATAAAAAGAGGAACCAATGAATGTTAAGAAATAAGTAACAATTAAGGAAATTAAAAATTAAAATCTTCTACTTCTATAAGTGTTAGAAAAAATACTTAGGTGGTGTTATTCAATGCTGTATTTTAAAAGAGTTTAAATCTAAACACAATCCACTATTATTCAATTAATAATTCTAAATTCTATTTTAAAATTCAGTGTTATTCAATCTATGAATGTAGGTTTTAAAATCTGGTATTATTCAATTTTTAAGGATTTTAAAATTATGTGCAATATAAATTGATTTCAAATCATCATTAATGGAGTTTAATGAATAAATGACTCAACTCAAAATCCAAGGACTATTATAGAGATTTTAGAATCCATCTACGTTAACAATCTTAAAATTTAAAAATTTGATGTATTGCAAAATATCTACAATTGATTTGAAATTACTAACTGAATAACACCCCCTTATTGATATGTTTGAACTTAAAACAATCATATGAACTATAAATAATTTATAAAAGTATTAAATTTTTTAATATAAAATATAAATATATATATATATAAAATTTAAATATTATTTATAAATATAAGAGTTTAAGATGAAAATGAATTTGTATTGATAAAATCTAATTTATATGATTCAAGTCAGTTAAATCATTTTAAATCGGTTTAAACCTTTTGGAATATATTTAAATAGATCTAAATTAATTGAAATCTATAAATCTATAAATCAATAATATTAGTATAAATCCATAAATTTATCCAGTTACTTTTGTGTATCTTAAATTGATAGTCATCTAAGTAATTGTCTAATTAAAGACAAAAAACCAAAAAAAACTTATATAAGTATAAATTAATAATTTCTTAACGTTGGACATGGATATTACCTTAATTTGATGTAATTCTGTTTGTATTCTCAAATTAGAGAAACACTTTTTTATGTTTTCCATACGGACTATTTGTGAAGGTCTGTCTAAAAGAAACTAAAAGAGACGATACATGAATACATCACAAAATGATGGCAAATGGTTTTGATTTTACAAAGTAGAAAGGTAAACTTGATTTAGGTTTGAAGTGATAAAGCAAGTAGAGAAGTTGTCATCAGTCTGAATGTGATCGATCAGATGAGACCTTGACGTTGGAGATCAGAGTAAGTCTTCTTGTTGTAGATGTTACCTTCACGATCTTCATACTCTTCTTCAAGTTCTGGCCTCCATTTGTTAACTCCTTGCCTCTCCTGGATCTTTTTCCACAACGCTTTCGCTTCCTGAAACACAACCAAACCAAATCACATTATCAACTTGCACAAAACTATCGGTTTAAGCTACAACAAAGCAAAATATATAAACCTCAATTGAAGTGATTTCGTTGAAGTTTTTCGTGTTTGGGATCCCTAAGCAACGCATTCCATGTTGGTGTTGAAATTCTTTAAAATGTCTCTCGAAAGCCCTTCTCCCCATGTAGACACTGTTTCCACATATCTCGCATTCGAACTTCTACACGACATAAAGACACAAATTTGATTAGTCAATATAGTATCTGTTTCCTTTAACATCGATGATTGTCTAAATAACTCTTACGTACCTGGCCAAGGCCGTGAAGCTTATAGAGCCAGTATGGTATAGGCTTCCCGTCAAAACCCATTGGCAGCTTCAGTGGATTGTAAATATCACCTTCCTCTTCATCACTTTCTATTTCTGCCCGTTCTTCTTCCCCCTCGCGTTCTTCCTCCATCTCTTCATACGTCAAGGCCTGCTTCTTAACAACGTTTTGTTTTGTCCTTTCTATTGTCTATACAAAGACAACAAGAAAGTTAAAAAGGTCAACTAAATATCTGACATGATGCTTAGGGAGAAATTTAAGGATGTAGCATAGCGGTACTTTCATCAACTAACCTCATCAAGTAAACTGCAAAGTTTCTTCACTTTGGCCTCTGTTAGTGCAATCTGTTTAGCACTGTCGGGCTCCTGCGTTGCTTTGGCATCTCCGTTTTGTTTCCCGATGGGTTTGGCAAAATGTTTCTTATCCAGCTTATCCAAAGGCGTATCCTGAACAGAAATTGAATCGATTAAACGCATAAGATAACCTCAAGGTAGTACCATAAACCTTCAAATTGACATACTAAATGTCGATCTGGTTTGAACTACCAACTAAATTTCATAGCACTAAATACTCCTACCAAACCCCAGTACACACAACAGCGCTATTAATAAGTAGAATAGAACATACGAATCTCATAAACTGAAATCAAAAATGCGTTTTCGGAGACTTAGCAAGTGTACGGACCTTTGTAAGGAAAAGCCTCTCTGCACGCTGCTGCAGAGTACCACCAACTTTCAGCCCCAGCGCCCCAAGCGCCTGAATGACACAAAAGACAGAGAATTAGCGGAATAATGCTTCAGGGATCATATAATCATGAAGCATGGTCATTACCTCCTTAAGCTTTTCAGGTCCCACATCTATCAATTCCTCGGCTGTGGTGTAGTAATCAAGATCTATGACAGAACGTTGAGATGGAATAGGTTCATTTTCCTGGCCATGGTTCTCCCAGCCTACTACTTTTCCATCTGCAAATTGCTCTTCAAAATCAGTCTCAACCTGCAGGAAACCAACATATTAAATGCTATAAATCATACACAACATTCGACAAATCTAGAACTACCGAATTGCCAAGTTATACTATCGATCAGAGGATATGAAAGCACTAGCTATGGCTATTTAATTTCCAATACGAGCATCATCTAGTTATTGATCCAACTTTTACGCAAAATCGTTTGGAATACTAATTGAAAACTCTTATGTAATAAAGCTTTAGTTTAAAGAACCCATAAGATTCCATATGGCAAAAGGCTGAACACAATAAAACGATAAAGAAAGAGAAGAGTTTGAACCTTAGAAAGCATTTTGTCAAGGTCTTGCAACGGCTCCGTTCGCTGAAAGAAGTTGATCAAGTACTCCAGCAGAGCTTCCAAATACTTCTTGTATTGCCTAAAAATGGACAGATTGTAAGACAAGAAGAAAATGCATTCAGATACAGGTAGAAACAAATATGGAGGCGTTTCTAAGTAAAACAAAATACAATGAAATATTTACCTTGAAAACTTCAGTTTACGAGCTATCTTCTCTGGTTGAGAAAAGACATCAAGGTAAACAGAATATTCAACCCTTTCCCCAAATTTAGAGTTAATGTACTGGTTATACAGATCATGCAAGTCCAAGTACCGACCAGCGCCTTCCTGCACAGCACACAGTTATAGAAAATCAATAAAGTACAACGATGCCACGACTAATAGTACTCTCTTAAAACAGAAACATACCTCTCCACTGAAGGAAATAACAGGTTCCACCTTCAGAAGTGCTTCGTAGTCCGCACTGGCATCAACAAGAGGTCCAGAAGGATACTTTCTATGATACTCACGTATCTATAAGTTTCAGAAAATAAGTTAAATTAGTTGCATATCTGAGACACATACCAAGAGAACTAAAGTAAAACCAAATTCTTGATACAGAGAAGCACTAACCTCTTTCAAACGATCATAAAAAGCACTATACACATTAATCCCTGTAGCAGTGTGACCACCAAGCGCTGCAATCTCATCTTCCCTAGCCCCATCCTTATCTTCATAGGTTTCAATCTAACATTAGCCAACAAAGAATCACCGTTCGCATTAATCCACTGGACTATTAGAATATTTAATCATGTAATCAATGCTTGGTTCAATCCCTAGTTCATTAACACTAATACACATTCACAAGCTAACGACCTAGATTCCACACCTACCACATAATCAAAATCTTTTTTAATCTTTCTAATCTACAGAAGCTTACAAGCTTCTCGGTGGTGCGCATGATAGACTGAATCATGTTGCGGACGCGGTGGCCTTGTACCAATCTGTCCTTGCTCGACGACGGCTCGGTCTGTAGATCTTGGACAACGATTCGCTCGAGTCTTTCAATCTCCTCGTGATTGGAGCGAGTTTGCTCGAGGAGAGTCGACGACATCTTTTTCTCACTACTACTCTACGCTCTATCTTCTTCCTGAGACTTCTTGAATCGACTGAAACCCTAAATCCCAGGACGAGTGTAAACCGGGTTGTTAGTGTTGTTTCGGATCTAGATTGTTTTTTTTTTAAGTAATCCGGAAACTATTCAGCTTAAAGTGGGCCTGGCGGTTTCTATAATGGGCCTATTTTAGGCCCATATTGCTCGATTCACAGTTTCAAAATGCTTATTTGTTTTGTAAAGTCTCTCTCTCTTCTCTCGTGACATTCACTTCAATGGCGGCGCTCGCAAGGATCGGTGGCCGGTACCTGAAATCCGTCGGCGTAATTAACACTACCGCCTCATCATGTTATCTTACTCAACGTCGTGGAGTTGCCACTAAGCTCTTTGTTGGCGGTACATCTCTATTTCTTTTTTTCTGGTCTTTTTAATTAATAGAAAACAAATATCTGGAGAAATTGATTCGTTTATATAAATGCATATCATTAGAACCTCCTTTATATTAGTGGCTGCGGTTGTAAGATGGTTTACTCTGTAATAGTGTTCTTCAAACTCATTTGCAAAGAGCTAACGTTTCGTGTTAGTGTCTCGTGGTCTTTTTTGTGCTCACATTCTGATTTTTGATCACTGCTATTAGTGATTTGACTTCCTAAAAAGTGGCTAAAGATGCTTAGTTCCAAAACTAATCCTGTTTTATTTCCCACCGACCAGGATTATCGTTTTACACTACCGAGCAAGGATTGTTAGAGGCATTTTCCCAATGTGGCCAAGTTGTGGAAGGCAATAAAATTTACATCATTGTTACAGCGATAAATTGCATAATTTTACCCCTCTTTTTATGTATCTCTGAGAGTTTTTGAGATGTTTTTTTTTTTTTTTGCAGCTCAAATAGTAATGGATAGAGTCTCTGATAGATCCAAAGGTTTCGGTTTTGTGACATTTGCTTCTGATGACGATGCTCGCAAGGCTTTGATGGAGTTTAATGGACAGGTATATTGCATGTTGTGGTTGTCTTAGATGTTTTTCACTTTTCTTTAAATCAATTTCTCTTTTGTTAACAAAACAAGTTTCCTTTCAGCAATTAAACGGTCGTGTAATATTTGTGGACTACGCTAAGGCGAAGCAAACTTTTGGTGGCGGTGGTGGTGGCGTACCAGTAGCTAGAGGACCGCCTAAGCCAGGCGAAGTAGCTGCTACAACAACACATGAAACATTGAACATGGACTAAACGAATCAAAAATTAGCAAAAACGATGGATTATACTGCATCTGCTATTCTCTCTCTTGGTATGAAAACATTTTTGTGAAGCTTCAGCGCATTTGCCTATGTTTCATTATGATCTCTGTTGTTAAAGCAGAAGTAGTTACCTCAACTCTTCCATGACTCCTACTTATATGATGGAGTTTACTCTTAGATGTGTATATATCGCTTTTCTATTCCAGATTGTGATTACTAAAGTTTCGAGACTGATACAAACAATTTATTTGTTTTTGTTTATTAAGTTCAAAGAAAAAAAATCGTTAGAAAATCTATTGTGGGTTGATTCGCATTTAAAACTATGGACCATGACTGACTTAGCATCGGTTGCTCCCAATGGTGTTCTTATGTTTCTTCATGTGAGTAAAACCCAACCTTATCAAATTCATAAAATATTATACTTCCTTTCGCATTGGTTCATTCTTGTTAAGATGTTAATAAGTTTCAGAACTTCTTTACTGATTTGTTGATGGTTGCTTTGTACAAAATCATGTCTATATGAATCCCTCCATCGTTACATTTACAACTATCATTGGCAGTATGTCTGAGTTAATGAACTAATCTAGGTAATGCTTTCTCTTTGTGCTTCCTTTTGCCCTTTTGTACTTCTTTTGAACCTGTTAAGACAGCTCGAGAAGGTGAAGCAAATGCAATATGAAACAGAGCCTGAGGAAGTAAAAAGAATCATGACTAGATGAAGATGCAGAATCTTTTTATACCTCACTTTTTTCTATAATTCATTGACAAGAGCTGCGCATAGAGAATCTCATTCCACGTGTCAGGTACTCCTGGTAAGCACCAGTGGCTGCAGTCTTGAGGAGCATCAACAGGAGTACCCCCCTCTCTATACCGAGAAGGATGACCATCTTTCCTAAACTCTGTAAGATATGTAATGTTGAGAAACTTAACCTTACTGTGTTTATATCTCATATCTTCAATTGCTTCATAGATATATCTATTGTGAGCTGCATCAGGTTCCATTCTCCTTTTATCAGTCTCAGGCCCAGTCTCTGCATCACATAGACCACCTAGATTCCATGTCCCATTTCTGTAGTGCACTGGTGAGTAGCTTCTGAAGAAGACATAAGTCTTGTTAGGATCAAGTTTCTCTAAAACCCATGACTTCCATGTCTTCAAAGACTTCCCAAATGCCTCCATTGCTCCCATTGTCTTGTTCACTTTCCTCCCCTCCTCAAAATACGATCCTCTGCAAAGAAACAGAACCACAGTTTAAGGAAAAGAATGTCAGAATCTTAGAAGCTGAGGGGTCTTTCTCTTACGCTAACACTGTCTTCTCTTCGTTCCACCAGTGCCCTGAGTTGAACACAAGAACATCTGAGTCAACCCATTTTTTTGATTGCCAGTTGAACTCGTCGACTCTCACTGTGGTTTTGATCTCTTGAGGTGAGTGTTCTGGTGGCCGGCCAATGACGACAAGAAACGGTGTCCTGTGATACTCAACCGTGAGGTTCTGCTGAGGGAACCGCATCGAGAGAAAGCCCTTGTGTTTAGTTATAGGGTTCCCATATACTTCATAGATCTCTGATTTGTTGGGTACTGCTTGTGAGAGCATGCACATGAGTGATTCCCACTGGTTTCTTCCAATGGAATCTCCCACGAACACTATCCTCCCATTCCTACTCCTCTCCAAAAAATCGCTTGCGTTAAACCTAATCATTCAATAGCCAAACCAAACAACAACAACAACAAAACATCAAGTTGGTCACACTTAGTACTAAAACATATAGGTTTAGACGAGAACAAAGCTTTCTTGCGTCATAGGAAAGCGAACAGAAGCCTACTATCTAGTTGTAACCCTAAATTAAGCTTTTAGGTGCAAGCAAAACACATTTTCACTTTAGGTATACAAGAGCAAAGCTTTCTTGTGTCGGAAGAAAGTGAATATAAGCCTAATACTAGTTGTAACCCTAAATAAAGCTTTCAGGTGCAAGCAAGAACACACAATTTCACTTAGGTACATAAGAGCAATGCTTTCTTGTGTCAGAAGAAAGTGAATATAAGCCTAATACTAGTTGTAACCCTAAATAAAGCTTTCAGGTGCAAGCAAGAACACACATTTTCACTTTAGATCTACAAGAGGAGATCTTTCTTGTGTAACAAGAAAGTGAATAGAAGCCTAAATATCTAAGTGTAACCCTAAATAAAGCTTTTAGTGCAAGCAAGAAACACATTTTCACTTTAGGTATACAAGAACAAAGCTTTCTTGTGTCAGAAGAATGTGAATAGAAGCCTAAAATGTGTTTCTTGCTTGCACTTAAATCCTACTTTCTAGTTGTAGCCCTAAAAACATTTATCTATTTTATTCCAAGGAATCAATACATAACTTTAGGTGCAAGCAAGAGACATATTCACTTTTATGGAAAGTTTGACGTGGCAACATGTTTACCGTGGAAGATCGCAGCCGTGTGGTTGCCACCTCCATTGAAGATAACCGGAATCTTTTCTTCCGTTCTTGCGACAACGAAAACCGGAATCAAGAAAGCGACACTCTTCACCGTACATTAATCCAAGAGACGATGAGGTTCGACGAACCCATCTTCCAGCGGAGTAATCACAATCCTTTGTTAAGTTGTGCGATGAGGGCGAGAATAATCCGAAACGGAGAAAAGGCTCGAAGGAGGAGGAGCCGGCGAGGTTGAAGACGACGACGGTCGAGAATATGATGAGGCTAAGTGAAAAGAGGCTGAGGAATAAACGTTTCTTGATGTTGAAAACGTATGGAACTGAGCAGAGAGAGAAGAGTTGTTGTTGTTGTTGATGATGATCCATGATCTCTTCTTTCTCTCTTTGAACAAGTCTTCTCTCTTACGTAAACGAGAGACGTCAAACTATTAGATAAAGTAATACGACTGTTATTGTTTTTTTTTTTTTAAGATAAAGGAATAAAATAGATGATGAGTATGCGTCGGTTACATCATGATGGAAAGCTTCATTGGCTCCACGTTCGTCATTAGAGCATTTCTGTAAAGATTATACCATTATATCGTAATTAATTAATTAATGTTTTTCTATAAAAGGGTTCTCTAAGTTGAACTGCGTAAAAGGATTTTTCAAAAGACTTTCTTATAATTAAATTACTATAATGCAAAAAATCTGGTAGTCTAATCTCTCGATTTTGATCGTGGTCTTTGGCACCAATGTTGCTTAAATAATATTCCTCAAGTATTTTGTGTGAAGCTGTGTTGACTATGGCTGTCCTTTTCAGTTTTGTGAAATCCTTTGGTTTGTTGAACGTGTTGAAAACGTGTCAACAAGACACCAAACTGCTACACCCTTGTGTTCTAAGCGTGTGCATATGTATAACATTTTCATTATAGAATCATAATGGGCTACGAGTATACTAGTATTTCGTAATCATTCGTTTGGTAGAGACAATGATTTGCAGAACACTTATCTTATTTAAAACTAGTGATCCCTGAAGTCTAGCACCTAACCCCTGCAAGGCCAAATTAGCAAAATCAAATGTTGAATACTTGTTGAATTCCAGCATTTATCAATATTGATCTAAAATATGTTCTGCCTGAGAAAACCAAATCTCCATTCATTATTGAATTTTTCTTAAAAAATATTCAAACACATAAAGAGATCATATGGGATGATATATTTATTTTTCAATAACTTTTTCTTGTCTGTGCTCGAAAATTAGTATTTTGGATACATTTGATCTAATATGCATATCGTCATCAACTTAGTTTAGTGATATATGAGAATTGAACGGTTGTAGCATTAGACCATATAAATTGGGGGATTTTAGGGTGGTGTTCTTAGTTTATGTTATAATACATTTTTATATTTTAATTAAGAAAAATTAAAAATCAGTTCTTAAATAAGAGATATAAATACAGATTCTTAGTCAAAAAGCATTAAAAAAAAGTCAAATTATGAATTAAGAATTCTAATCCTACGAGCATCTATAACACTAAAAACGTATTCGAGGTTTTTTAATTTTTTTTTTGTCTGAAAAAAAGTTCGAAGAAATCGCAGGTCGCCGCATGTCGATAGGGCCACAAACAGTGCAAAAACCATTACATAATCAATCATTATTTCATGACTTTTGTGATTGGTTTTTAATTTTATGTGGTTTTTGGTTTAAGAAACGCCCTTAAAAACTACCGATAAGCATGACCTAAGATCTTTTCTAATAGGGTAACTAAGGAGGTTATATCTCATGGTTTTATCTAATTATATGCTCAAAATTAAATTAAAAAAAAATAGATAGATATCTATTCTATTAAAATAGATAGATATCTATTCTATTAAAATAGAGTCATTCTTTTTATTTACTGATACAAGTTGTCATTTAAATTTGGACTATTTCTATAGTGTTACAAATAATACAAGTTATATAGTTAATTAAACCGCATTACTTAAATTAAACCGGCAGTTATTTATGGAATATAGTTTTGGGCTTACTTTTGTTTTTATGACATTTAATTGTTTGGTTTTTGGGCTTAGTATTAAAGAAAAACTCCAAAAACATTAAATAAACTTTCCACCTTAATGGGTCAAAAATCAATTACTATTTTCAGGCCCAAAAATTTTTAATATTTTCAACAAAAAAAATTATCTATTATTAATCACTTATTTAAATCATGTACTTTAAAACATGTTAATATTTTTTTAGCCCTAAAATATTTAATATTTTCAATAAAACAAAATTATCTATTATTAATCACTTATTTAAATCATGTACTTTAAAACATGTTAATATTTTTTATTTTAAAAACAATCACTCTATCTTGATAAATTTTAATGCTAAATTTTAAATAATTTATTGTTTTATTTTTCTTTAATAATTTAAAGATTTTTAAAAAATGTAAAGCAAAACCAAAAACCAAATCTACAAACTAAAATCCAAAACCAAAAGCTGAAAATGCAGGTTATATTTTTTATTTTTTTTTTTATTTACAAAATAAACTATTTCAAAAATTTTAGAAAATTATTTTGTCATCTTTTCAGTTTTAAATTACATGTTCGATTAATTGAGATTTGTTTGTAGGTAATATTAGTTCAAACTAACTCAGCGGGTCTAAAAATTAAAAACCCAAACCAAAAACTGAAAATCAAAAATAGAAACTTAAAAACTAAAAACCAAAAACCAAAAACCAAAATTTAAAACAAAATCTAAAAATAAAAGCTGAAACTAAAAACTAATGAAAAACAACTATCACCACAAATTTTGGTAAACTAATTTTATACCAAAACATTCTTTAAATTAAGACAAAACCCAATTATATAAATTTTTAATCATAAAAAATTTCCGCGCTTTTCAAGCGCGGGTCAAAATCTAATGATTCTTAAAATGAAATTTTTGGAACCAACTCTTAAAAATGTTCTATCTCATGGTGTCATTTTCTGATTGGTTAATATTTTTAAGAGAAAAAAAATTTATACCCAATTTTTTTTTGCTCTCTCTCTTTTAAAATTTAGAACTTTTAATTGGTTCTTTCATTGGAGAGGTTAAAACTAAACAAGTATTTAAAATTTCTAATTAATTTCCAATAAAAAAATGATTTAGCACTCTAGGATCATATTTACTGTTGGAGATGATAAGAATGTAGGTGTAGAACATATCCACAATCTTAATAGGCCCTTAACAAAACTTCACATATAATGAGCCCTTCAAAGATTCTTCAAACACTTAACAGGCCCTTCCCTTTAGAATTGGGCTTAAAACAAGATGTGTCTAACAATTTCATACACTTAAATACACTATAATCCCGAAATTCAAAACCTTAAACCCTAATCACCGCCGGAATCAGAACCAAAATCAGACAAAAATGGGTCGTGTCTGAACCAAGACCGTGAATAAATCATCACGTCAAGTGATCGAGAAGTACTACTCTCGCATGACACTCGACTTCCACACGAACAAAAAAATCCTCGAAGAAGTAGCCATCATCCCTTCAAAGCGTCTCCACAACAAGATCGCCGGATTCTCGACCCATCTCATGAAGAGGATCCAGAAAGGACCCGTCCGTGTCTCACTCAAACTCCAGGAGAAAGAGCGTGAGCGTCGCATGGACTTTGTGCCCAGGTCCGGCCCATAGGACAGACAAAGGAACCAACTGTTTAGGGCCTAGATCATTTTAAGGTTTTTAGCTTAAGAAAAAATGTCCAAAAAGTTTTGAACTTTTTTTATCTTAAAGTAAAAGGGTCCAAAAATTTTAATTTAAGTAGGGCATGTACTAAGTTTGGACGGGCCCTGTTTGTGTCCGACAAATCCGCTATTAAAACAGATCACATCGAGGTCGATAAGAAGACGCTAGACATGCTTGCTTCCTTGGGAATGGCGGATTTGCCAGGTGTTGTTAAGGTGGATCCTGTCTCCGTTGCTCCGGTTGCTGGATTTGGCCGTGGGAGGAAGTTTTAGTGAATCGAGAGATATGCTCTGTTTTAAAGTTTGTACCCTTTTTTTTTTTTTGCTGAATCGTTTTAAGAGATAAAGTTCTTATTTTTATAGTGTTCGTTAATACCTCGTTAGAATGAAACTGGTTGATTGAGACCTGATTCGTTAAACTAGATGATGCTCTTGTTTGTTTCACAATGGTTATGAAACGTATTTTGATGTTCTTGCTTTGTTAGCTAACCACCTAGTGTGAGAATTTTGTTACAAAAATGTTTATGCGATGAGTTTTTAATTGGATCAAAAGACCAGTAATGGAGATGTAAGATCCATGTAATGAAACTTTAATCATGTAAAAGCAACTTCCTGGATCATACCTTGTCAAGCCCCCATTGCCATTCAAATCTAAGGATTGAGATATGGATTGCTGCCAACTAATATTATGGACCATGAGATGAGACATGCTTTTTAAGTTACTACTACGTGTTTTGTCCGCATATGCGGACATTATTTTCTTAAGAATATTTATTAGTTTATGTTTTATTAATTTAAAACAATACAATAAGTTATGATTTATATTTTTAAAATTAATTATAATGACAACTTTTACATAGCAGAATATTTTAAAATATATTTATACAAATGTTTTGCTTGATTTATATTAATTATAATTTTTATATCTTATTTTTTTCTATATTAGGAAAATATTTTTTCAAGATAATATTACTAATGAAAATTTGTTTTTATTCTATAATAAATTACATATGAGAATTATTAAAAATATGACAAAAGCAAAATCATCTAAATCATGGAGAAATTACAAATCAGTAATTTCACTTAAATTTTATAATAGAAAATATATTTGCAAGATAACAATCTAATACATAATAGTTATCTTATTTTCTTAAAATATAATATTATTAAATAAATTCATTTTTATTATGTACTAAATTATATGTGAAATTATTGAAAGATAATAAATAAGCAAAATTTCCTAAAATTATGGGAAGTTAACAAATCAGCATTGCTTAATTTATATTTACTTATAATTTTTTATATTTTATTTTTTTAGTTTCTATAATAGATAAATATTTTTGCAAGATAACAGTATAATACGTAAGAATTATCTTATTTTCTAAAATATAAGATTATCAATATAAATTTGTTTATATTATATAATAAATTATAAATAAATTATTAAGACATGACAAATAAGCCAAATTTCCTAAAATTATGAAGAAATTGACAACTAAGCAAATTTACTTCTCAAATAATAGTATAGATGTGGGCCAGGCTTATTAAGATAAATTGATAATTGTTTTTCATATGGATCTCGTTGCTATTTTTAGGACTGGATATTTTATACGTTAAATTTGATTCGACTCGTTTGATCCGAAAATTACGGGTATCTGTAAACTATCGAATTCAAGAAAATATTAAATATAAATACCCGTTAAAATCAAAACAAATTACAAATATTAAAAATTTAGGAAGCGAATATCCGCTCCGATCCAAAAATATATAGATACATGTATATCTTGATTATATTTAAATTTTTAATGTATAAATTATATTATATAATTATTATTCTAGCACATAATTTGACCAATTCTATTCACATTATTAATTATGTAAAAGTATTGCATAAAAAAAAATTATGATAATTATAATTTTTTTCTTAAGTTTTATGTTATTATAATTTTTAGCTTAAACTTTTTTTAATATGTAAATTCACTACTTTCTTTTAATTTTAATTTTATATATCACGCAAAAGAGATTTTACAAAACAAATTTGTATCAAAATTTTAAGATTATTTTTATTAATCAAAATGGATAAGATATCTGGAAGTATTCGCAAATATCCACAAATATCTTGTTACTTTCCGGATATTCGCTTTCCCGATATACGTATTTTTTAAGCATAACAAATACTAAAATTAGATATATGTAACGTACTAAAGCAAATCACAAATATCTTCAAAAATCTGGATATTCGATTGTGTCCAGTCTAGTTATTTATTCAGCTACAGCTACGTGCCTCACTTTTCTCAAGTTATTTGCTAGCTGTCTTGAACACTATAGAATTATTCAGAACATTGTTAAAGAGGTAGTTGACAACTAATAGTTGCTGGCCAGAGATATAATGAAGGGAAGTAGCAGTACAAGTTTGTTAGAAGATGAAAGGTTTCTCCTAAGTGTGGATCCATGTAGAACTCAGTGGACATTACACATTAAAACATGATATGCATCTATGTTCTTATATCAGCCACCTCTTTCATGTTTTCCTCGGTAGCAATGCATGAAGATCTTGTTGTTGTTTTTCCTGGTACTGAATCCATTTTTTTGGTGTGTGGTCATATTGAATCTCTCTCTCCAATCTCCATAGGCTCAAATTTGTTAATCCAGATTTTTTATCAGTCTATTACAAAATCCCACTTTCTAAACACTTCACTTGAAAATTTTGTACTTTGAAGGAGAAATCAAAGAAGAGTACGTAGTTAGTGGTCCTTATAGAGGTACTGCATCAAGTATGTATGTTAGTATGTATAAGGCATGACATTGAGATGAATGCTATTGGAATTGGGATGCAATTCTACGAAATCAGTATCTCTCTCAATGCTATTGGTTTCTTTTATATCATAATAGTGTGGGACTAGTAGGTGGACTCAATGACTTGGACAAATCCAGACTCAGCAAAAATAGGAACACACGCGAACAAAAGAGCTCATGAAGTTTAGTTACTGAGTAATTTGTATTTGTCCCTAAAAACATACTAATTCTGTGTACAAGTATTTGAAATAACTACATACTAGATTTTGACCAACACTTTTAAAACACGGATATAATTTTACGATTTTGATACAATTTGAGTGATTTTATAAATATTATTAAAAAAACAATTTCAAAGTTTGTATATTAGTGTTTCAAAAAAAAAAGTTCTATTGTATCTAATTTTCAGAAATGTTTTCATATCCGACTCAGACTATCGTTAAACTGATAGATTCGGCGATTTTTGTTTAATTCGGTTCAGATTTAATAAAAAATTTGATAATTAAAAATTAGATAAAACCTTGTAAAACTCGAAAACCCTTTTTTAACCTATGATTCGATATCAGATGATTTGCTGGAAAAAAACCAAAGATAATATTTTTTTATTTTTTATGATGAAGTAACGCATAATAAGACTTAAAAATTGTAATATCATATACTTTGATGAATTTTTTATTAAGTTATATAAAAAATTAGATAACAGTAATAGACAAAGTAAAATTTATTGATATGACCATATTAGTTTATTGTTTGTTTTTAATAACTTATGAAAGTTATTGATGTTTATTTTAGATGTAAAGTTTTGATTTTATGATAAGTTCTAAAATATTTTTGAAGGTTCAAATTTAGCATATTAGTATTATGTAAAAATGGCATAGTAAATAATAGTTTTTTATTTTCATATATTTTTTGTCAATTATTTTCATATATATATATATATATTCAAATTTAATAGTTAAATAATACTAAGCACGAAAAATAATATTCAAATTTAATGGAAACTATTATTTGCATAAAATATGGATAGTATTAGTTACCAAAAATGTAGGAAAAGTTCTGTTGTTTAATTTAAATAAATAATATAGATATTAAAACTAAATTCCAATGGCATAGTAATATAAATAATTTAAAAAGTAAGGGCAGAATCCTAAGAGAAATTTTGCTTTAATAGTATAGATTACAGTTATCCAAATAGCATTCCACATGAATTGCAACTCAATGATGTTTGGCATATCACACTCTCATGATTTATCTTTAAATGAATAAAATCATGTTAATCCCTTATATATTAATGCTGAAGCATTCATAAATGCATAACCTTGGAGAGCATGCTTACGTGTCAAGCTCACAGAGCTTCTCAGCTTTAATTTTTTAATGTACCAACTTTGCTAGGAATGAAATAATGTAACATTTAATTTCTTGCATTTAGGACTATAATATATTGACATTTTTTAAGGGACCAACTCTGCTAGGTATAAAACAATATATTTTATTTCCTTAAATAAAAGCTACGAAATTACCTTTTCTGTATCCTCTCTTTTTTGTTTAATTTTAAATTATTAAAATAAACTAAACAATCACATTTAAATATATAATAAAAAATTAAAACAATATATAGGTTATAAAACAATATATAGGTTATATTTTTAATTTTTTTTTTAAAACGACCATAAATAACTAAAAATAGTAAAATCCCACATTGAAAATTTTATGATCAATGGTTTAACTTTGTTTTTTCCAAAGAAGATACAAATTATCATAAATCGTACGAATATGAAGTATCATTAGTAGATATTCATACTACAAATATGTTAATTTAAAAACTTCAGTGAAAAGGTTTGAGGTTAGTAGATACAAATTATAGTATTTGAAAGATTTTGTAGTTTGTTTTATTTGCTTCTTTTTTAATATCTTTTAGTTTGTTTAGATAATTTAACTAATTTTAAATTAAATTTATTAATAGTTTAAACATTTTGATTTTTTTGTCAACTTTTAATGTTTAAGAAATATTTTTTGGGATGATTTCAGATATTGGTTACAATCCAATCCAAACTGAATTGAGAAGATCAAATTGAATCCAATCCGATAATTAGTAAAATTCAAATAGGATTTATGAAAATAGTACCAAAATCTGAAAATACGTGTCAATCAAAATAAAACCGACGAAGTCTCAAACGTCCAGACCTATGATGATTTAAGATACCAACATTTGTATTCATCATTTTCTAATCGATAAATACTGTAGTATTGCAAATTGTTAAAAACCATTTAATGAATAAATATTAGTATAAAAATTTCACTCCGCGCATGCGCGCGGGTTATCATCTAGTTAACTATATTATAAGCGAAACTGCAGTGAATAAAAAATACCATTTTAACCATTTTAACGGCGTTGGTAGTTCCTCAAAATGTTATTTATAAAATGTAAATTACTATCTCTAACTTCGTCACATATTTTTTGACTTTAATTATTTAAGTGTTTTACACCACATGAAATAGATCCGTTGTTATCGTTTCTATCTTTATGATCTCGCTGACCCATTTTTCCCGCATCGTTATTTATGTGCTTCCATATGCATGAATTGTCATGATATATATGGTGTATTCGTGTTCATCTTCAATATGAATATTTATTATCATCTCGCGTTTCGTTGAAGATATCTTTGATTATTTTTTGAGGTTTGTACACGTGTAAAGGAAATGTGTAAACGTAAAACTCCTAAATGTTATGTCTTTGTTCAAAAAAAACTCCTAAATGTTAATATATATATGCTCCATGCAGGTGAACAAAATTCAACTGAGCAACTAGTAGTTTTGGTTATGGAATCAGTTTTGTTATTTATAAAAAATTGACTTACAGCCAAATTAGAGTTCGGTTCGGATAGAACTATTATACCTGTATTTTTTTAGATTATACCTGTATTTTGTTTTGGTGAGATCACGTTGGTTTCTTAAACAAACAAAATAGAGGGAGATTGTATTAGAGATCATGAGCAAGAAGGAAGAAAATGAAATGATCTCGTATTTCTCAATCGAACAAAATGAGTTTGGTACAAGATATATATACACTTGACTGATCTTGTAAACCAAATGAAATCAAAATACCAATAAAATAAACCGGACTAAACCAGACCCTATACATTGATGGATTGCGTTGTTTTTGTTCACTACTTGTGTGACTCCTGGAATAAGTAATAACTAAATAACAAAACTAAATACAATATGTAATAACTATGTATGTAGACAAACTCTAAAAGTCAGAATTAGTAATTCTTTATCAAGAAATAAAAAACAGAGTTAGCATTAGTGTTTGTAAATGTGCCCACGTCGTAACACTTAACACGAAGGCTTTTAATTCGACAAGTCAACTAAACAATTTCTTATATCCAGTTTTTTCTTTTTGACATCTTTCTTATATCCAAATTTTAATGAACGAAATCTCATCAAGTGAATAGATGCGGGCGATGAGAAACGGTGAAGTAAACATGCTAAGATGGTAAATCAATGGTTAGACCTTTTTTGAAACACTTTTTATTTTTTGAAACACTAATGGTTAGACTAATTACTTAAGTTTTTGTTCTAAAACGAACAAGGTGTGATATCTAAGAAATGTTATAGAAAATTATTTGTAATGCAACTTAAGTGAGCATACTATTGATGAGAAACATCCCACATCGGAAATATAAGAATTAATCTACTACTATATAAAGGGTTACGGCCAATCCACTAATCACCAATTGATTTTAAGTTGGAAGCCTATAATAAACCCGAATCTAACATGGTATCAGAGCGATAAGATCCTTTGACCTAATTTACTACAACTACTACTATACCGATGTTGGGCCCTACGTGGATGTTATTCCCACATTGTCCACGCTTCAGACCTAGAGATGTCTGAGCGTGAGGGAGGGTATTGATGAAAAACATCCCACATCGGAAATATAATAATTAATCTACTACTATATAAAGGGTTACGGCCAATCCACTAATCACCAATTGGTTTTAAGTTGGAAGCCTATAATAAACCCGAATCTAACACATACGATTACTTTGTGATTGTAACATCTTTCAACAAATTTATTAGACGTAGTGATATCATTTTTAACTACTCAGCGGTGTGTTATCTAAGTAAAGATATAGATAAACTGTTTCTTAAGTTCTTTTTTGTTTCTTGTCATTCTGTTGAAAGATATGATGATAGCATGATCCTTGATGCATGTGATACTGATATCACATTGTCATTTTTGTTAGGGAGAATATGATAGCATGAATGTGATATCAAGCTGCACATTGATTGGTGCAATTAAGGGTGCACAATTTATTGATAGGAGCCGAGTTCTTAATGTTCGCTCTGCTTATTTTCTTTGAGTTATATTTTGCGAACTCATTTCTATTTAGCTAAAAACAACACTTATATAGCTAGTGGATTTTATTACTATCGCGATGTTAAGAGCTGACTTCAGATTTTTGGAGTATGTCTGTGCGGATTGTAGATAACAAAAAAAAAACTGACAAAAATAATTCCATAATAGTCACTTCATATCGATACATTCAAATATTATACTTGTAATCTACAACATTTTGATCATGACATCGTTTTAACGCTGCAGCCTTAGTCGATTAGAGCATGTTTATCCAAGGGTGCTTAGAGAGGTGCTTAGGAGGAGAGAGTTGCTTAATTTGAAGAGAGAGAGTGTGAAAAATGTTTAATTAAGCACTTTTCACACTCTCTCTCTTCAAATTAAGCAAACCTCTCCTCTTAAGCACCTCTCTAATCACTATTGGATAAACATGCTCTTAGAATGTACACTAGTTAAGCTACTTGGGTTATTTATTTGTTATTATTATTGATTGCATAAGGAAGAAACGAAATAGAAGCTTCTTTACATTTACTTAAAGGCAGATAAGTCGGGTCAAAGTAGAACGATAAAGAAAATGGGATGGATGGGACCAAAGAGAAGTAGGTTTACGAGGAAGAAGGTTTTAGCTAAGACAAAGAAAATGGATTGGTCCCACTCAAATCCTGCTTCTCTCTCACGCTCGATACTCCTATAATGCATTTCTTCTCTGTAGTGGATCCAACAAAGTATATATAGTAGTATTTCATATGTTATTTAACCTTATTTGCCTTAAGTCTTTATGTATGTTATTTATAAACAGCCAAAGACAGTCACCGAGAAAAGTAGCACCAAAATACTTTCGATTGAAGTTTAATAGTGAAACTCCTATAACCAGACAGACATGTTTGAGAGCTTAAGAGTAGATCCACCTACATAGCTTGGTTATTCATAAACAACTACGAAAGTTGACTGCCAAACTTTCGACCCACTTGAAATGCCTCATGGGATTTATTACTTAGAGCTGTACATTAGTGAATCTCTTTTTGGATTCAAATTTTTATTTTTTATTATTAATTATTTTTGTTTGATTTTTTTTAAATAATACTAATTGAACCAATTGCGGACCGCTATGTGTCGTAAAACCTACAAACAGTAATAAAGTTGCCAAAAGGAAGTTCACCAGAGAGAGTTCGGGAGAGACAAATTCATGAAAGTGAAATTATTTAATATATTTTTTTCTTGGCAAACGTATGAACTCCTCATATGATCTCTCAGTGTACATGCTCTTACTCTCGACTCTCATATCATCCTTAGTTTTTTTCTTGTACCCAAAATTTGAACAAATATATAATAGATGTTTTTTGATATTTTAGAAAATACTTATGAGTAGTTTTGGAATTTAAAAATTTATTGTCTTCCTCTATATTAAAACTATGGCCAGGAGGGTAGTTTCACTTTATACATTTGCATGTATTTGGGTCTCTATACCAATTCCGGCGTGTTGCCATTTAATTTTGTTTGCGTTTCTTTAATTTAAATTAAATTTCCTTGACTGTACTTTTTACTTCCGAAATTATGATTTTATTTATTTCAAATTTTTATTATAATCTAATTCAAGTAGGTTGGCATTTATTTCTTGGTTCCATATATTAACTCCTACGAACAAAAATAAATAAATATTGGTAGTCTGTTTGAGTATTTGAGTATTTAATTTGATTTATGTGTATTATTAGCCATTAAACACCTCTCTTGTTCGTTTCCTCCTCTATTTAATAAGCAATGAATTGGATTCCTGCAAATGTCTACAGATTTATTGTGTATTTATTAAGTATATGTTTTAAAAATTAAATTACTGATTTGGAGTTGAAAAGTAACTAAAATTCAATTCTCTTGTAAAAAAAAACTATAAAATTCAATACTCTTGAGGCAAATAGAAGTTAACCGTCTGATGCCATGTATAGAGTAGTAGTAGTATACCTCAATTCAATCTTTATGAGTGTCTCTCTCACTCAAGATTTAATTAAGCCTTAATGACAATACATATCTCAATGTATTCTTTCTTGTATATAAAGACCTAAGCTGAAGCAACCCAACCACCAGTTGGAAGAGAGACTCTTTGTGACCAGAGTACGAAAATAATTTGAGATCAGTATAAAACTCTCCTTCTCGATCCGCAGGTTTCAAGGTATATATTTTCTCCGACCAAACTAACTTTAACTTAATCTCTTCCTGTCTGAACCATATTTTGTTGAATTTTCAACACAGAATGAGCCGAAGAAGTCCAAAGCTTGAGCTGAAGTTGAATCTTTCGCCGCCTACATCAAGCCGGAGGAGGATGGTTCGATCTCCAAGCCACTCTGCGACCACTTCACCAACCTCCCCACAAAGCTCGTGCGTTTCTTCGGAGATGAACCAGGACGAGTCGTCTTTGAGATACTCGACAAGTCCAGAGACAACCTCGATGGTTCTTGTCGGGTGTCCTCGTTGTCTCATGTACGTTATGCTCTCACAAGACGATCCTAGATGCCCTAAATGCAAAAGCACCGTTCTTCTTGATTTCAACCATGAAAACGCCTCAAACGCCAACGTAAACGCTCCAGCCGCTACTTCCTCTGGTCGCAAGACTCGGAGGAACTGAAAAGACAAGTCTAATCAAACCAAAAGAAACCCTGTCTTTTTCTTTTTGTTTTCTTGCGAATGTAGCTGTTGTCTATGAGAGTAGTGCTAATCACTCTCCACTTAAAACCCTGAGAAGAAGGTAGAATATGAAACTAGGGTTTTCTTACTCACAAAAAATAAAATAAAATAAAATCAAAAGAGTGGAGCGCGAATAGCACTATAACGTGTCTTGTTTCTTATATTTTCTTAACATTTTCTACCATTTGGGGTTCTCTAATGGAAGAAGAATTTATATGTACGTGAAACAATTTATTCTACTCCTAAGTTCTTAATCTTATAAATCATCTTATCCATCGAATTTTCTGGTAACGCTTCAAGACTCTCTGTTTTACTCAGGTATTATGTTTCTCGGATGTTTTGTGTGTGTTGACTATAAGAAAATTAGAGATTCTTAGAGCATGTACATCAATGAACCCCCTTTTGGGGTTCATTGATTTTTTTTATTAATTTTTGGTGGGACCTTGATTAGTGATGAACCTGGGTCAATTATACGTCTCTATCAATGAATCTCTTCCTGGGTTTATAGGAATAAAATAATAATATTTTTTTTTTGTAAAAAGGAAAATTTTATTTTTTTGTAAAGTTAATTTTCAATAGAATGAAAAAGGAAATTATTCAAAATTGATAATTGCCTTAAACTTAGATTGAGAAATCATAGGATTACAAATTTTTTTTAAAAAGGTTTTATTTAATACATTGAGAATCCATAAACATACAAAGATTATTCATCTTGATTAACATATTTTTGCCATAAATTTTCGACTAAATCAGCTTTCAAACGAGCATGTATCTGTGAATCTTGAATTTCATTGCGGCGATCAATCAGATTCCCGATAATCACAGATGGTGTCGGTTGAACTTTAGAGCTTCTGCTTGATTCTCCTGATTCGAACTCAACCGTATCATACTGAGTGTATCGGTCGCGTTCGTCCTCTACTATCATATTGTGCAGTATGACACAAGCTCTCATAACCTTTCCTATTTTTTCTTTCTCCCATTGTCGAGATGGGTTTTTAACAACTGCAAACCTCGATTGCAATACTCCAAATGCGCGCTCGACATCTTTTCTAGTGGATTCTTGACGTTCAGCAAATAGCGCCGCTTTAGAACTTTGAGGAAGTGGGATGGATTGGATGAATGTCGACCACTTCGGATAAATACCGTCGGTTAGGTAGTAGGCCATACGATAATTGTGGTTGTTGACCTTGAATTTAACTTTAGGAGTTCGACCGTGTAAAATGTCATCAAAAACCGGAGATATATCGAGAACATTAATGTCATTGAGGGTACCTGGTAATCCAAAAAAGCGTGCCAGATCCAAAGATCATGGGATGCCACAGCCTCTAAGACAATTGTCGGCTTTGCTGAACCTCGTGTGTACTGTCCTCTCCAAGCCGTTGGGCAGTTTTTCCACTCCCAATGCATAAAATCGATACTGCCTATCATCCCCGGAAACCCGTGTGCTTCTCCAACATCGAGTAATTTTTGAAGATCTTCTGGTGTAGGTCTTCTTAAATACTCATCCCCAAACAAGTGTATTATCGCTTCCGTGAAATGATCCAAACACAAAAGTGCAGTACTTGCTGCTAGTCGGAGATATTCGTCATACGCATCCGCTGCTTGACCATATGCGAGCATCCGGATAGTTGAAGTACATTTTTGTAGTGGAGATAGGCCGAACCGTCCGTGACCGTTTCTTCGTTGCTGAAAGTAAGGAACTTCATTACTTAGGCGATCGACAATGCGAAGAAACAAAGCTTTGTTCATCCGAAAACGCCGCCTAAACATTGCGGGTGGGTATGTTGGATTTTCAGAAAAATAGTCCTGCCATAACTGCATGTGTCCTTGCTCCCGATATCTTTCGATATAGGATCGCTTTCTCGGCTTGGTGGCTTGAGCATCAATAACAGAGTCGATAAAATCATCAATTTGGCCGTCCACCAGATCTTCAAAAACTTCATATTCTTCATCATTTGAGGAGCTTGACATTTTTTTTTTAATTGTTCCTGAAAAAAACAACTTCTAAATTTTTTTTTTTTTAAACTACTATTAAATCTTTGCATAAATTATAATTTTTTGTTTCTTTAAAAACTACAATTGAATCTTTGCATATTTTTTTATTAACAAATCCAACTAATAAGCTGCTCTTGTAATTGTTTTATACTAGTGTGTGTATTAGACCAAAAGTGTTTGTGAATAACACATTACTTACCATATGATGGCTTAGAGCGATTATGGCTTTGATTGCTACCGATGGTTTTGAGTGATGATGCTAAACCGATGGTTTTGAGTGATGATGTGCAACCGAGTGATGATGGCTTTTGATTCGTGTGTGCCGGTGAAAGGTGTGTGCAAGCGATGGCTTTGAGTGGTTATGTTTGTTGTATGCTTTTATTTTTTATTTTAGATAAATGTAAAGACAGAAACCAAAACAAACATAAAGCAGAAACAAGAAGTTGAGTTTTGATGAAATAGCATACATGATAGAGAGCATATTTATATATGCTCGTTTTACATATCCGTGAGTTACAAGTACAAAGCATTCAAGTACAACATGTGACCATGATACAACTACAGAAGACATTGCAGTGTAGAAACTAACAAAATACTACACTGCATCCGTGAATTAAACAGAAGACATAAAGCAAGAAAGATAAAGCAGCAACAGACCCGTGACGAAGCAACCTGTGACCTAGCTGATCTGTGACCTGCAATACAAAAACAAACAAGTCAATAATTCAGTCAAGTAAATAATTAAAACATAACAGATCCAAGCAAGCAAGTTAACCAATTTCAATGAGTCATTTCCGAAATCAGTTTGTTTTTCAAGGTGATTTCAGATGGGGTAAGTTCATTGTCCTTCCTGGCTAGGAGACGTTCTAGTAGTTTTTGTTGGGATATCTCCTTTTTCACAGCGAGGATGGATTCAATCTGGTCGAAAGCTGCTTGGTTGCCATGCCTCTTGCGTTTGGCTGCTTTGGCCGCCTTAACACCAGGAGGCCTAACCTCCTCCTCAGGCCTCACCTCCTCTGTTTCATTACTTTTCTCCTTCACAGTGTCTCTAGACTTCGACATTGACTTCCACTTCTGATCATATCTCAGCTCCTCCAACAATGTTCCGTGGTGAACTTGGCGTTGTGATCATTGACGAAGATGTCATGAGCAGCCTTCATGACATCATTGTCATTGTGGCCACTGCATGGGTCCTTGCTCGCCGCCTCGTAGCAGCCCACGAACTTGCAAACCTCAGAGTTAATCCTCCCCCACCTCTGCTTGCACTGACTCCACTCTCTAGGCAGGGAGCCAGTGAGCTAAGGGTTCGAGTTGACGTAGTCCTCTATTCTCCTCCAAAAGGAACCTCCCTTCTGCTCGTTGCTTACGATAGGGTCCTTGCTTGTGCTCAACCAGCCGCTGATGAGCACAAGGTCTTCCTTTGTTGACCACTTTCTCTTGGTTAAGGGTTTAGCTAACCCGGGAGACTGACCTGCTGCCTCAGCAAAGTCCAGGTCGATTGAGGAACTGCTTTGCGAAGCTAGAAGGTCAATAAACCCGGGATAGTTTTGTGAGAAGGGATCCATTATCGGTTTTGGTTTAGGTTTGTGTTTTAAGTTAATTGTGTTTTTTAGAAGTGGATTTGGTTGTTTTTAAACTAGTTTTAGCTTTCATTATCGAACCATAAACTCTACCTACCAAACATTCATTATCGAACCATAAATCTACAACAGCTCCACATAGAACAGTTAATACACATCATCGACTAGTTAATTCAATCAACAACTTAAACCAATATACTACTTAAAACAAACAGAGCAGCCAAGCAACCAAGTACATTAAAAATTAATTCCAGTGTACTACTACTACTTCTAGGTCTAGTTAACCTAATAAAAAAAAGCCTACTAATTAACATTTATGTCAAAACGGAACTACTTTAATTTTTTAAATTTCGAAATTACCTTTTCATTTTACTCGTACGAGATCTTCTCCAAGTTACCGACATCCACAGTGAGACTTCTAACCTGTTCCTGTAAACAACAATAACACAGTGTTAGGTTATGTATTAAGTATCTAAATTTAATTTAACAGAGATGAAACAGACATGAAACAGAGATTAAACAGAGATTAAACTGTTACCTCCAACACCTCAATACGTTTACTGAGACTCCACACCCCCTCGATCACTTGCTCAGCCTCCTCCACACGCTTACTCAGCTTTTGTATCTCCTCCTCGACTGCAACCAACCAAGGATGACGGTAATGCAACCCATCATCCTTGATGACAACAGAAACAAAATATTAGGAGAATCACAGAAAACCATATTACTTAAACATATGAGTTCGGCGACCAATACCTCATAGTTGGCGCACGTGAAGAACCGCTTTCCCGGGATGGTGTCGTACTTTTCATTCCTTCGAACCTCTTGAATGATTCTCCCACCGCAAGAACACCTCCTTGGAATACCGTATTGTGAATCGGCAACAAACCCAAGCCTGTCGTAGTGCTCCTTCTGCTTCTTCGCATTTCTTCTCTCTTCTCCAAGATCCATCTGCACCAGAAACAAATATGATTACAACAAATTAAACAAAGAATATCACTCAAGAAGCCTAAATCGAACCACTAACCGAAACCCTTTTTCAAAAATCCAAATCGATAAAATCACATCAATATGAACCAAAAATCAAACCACCATGACGATAAACAGCCCTAAATCGAAAACCCTAATTGATTAAGACCCCTACCAAAGAAACCCCCAAATCGATTTTAGATCCCCGACTCGAAACCCTAAATCAACATAAAACTTCTCAATCTAACCGTTAATCTGCTCGACAACGCAGCTGAGATTGATAAGGAGGCACTCAGTCGTCGTTTTGATGGAGATTTTTAAGCAGGATCTGCGTCGCACAAAATATCGCCTCTCGACGACGAAACCCTAATTTTTCGAGAAGAAGTAGAAATGAGGA